GACATCGTAAAAACTTTCTTTCGAAGAAATCAAAGTAGAATCCTCGGGGCTGTTTACTCTACGAGCAACGTCCGTCCGATGACGAAACGTTTCATCGTGTGTATTTGCAGAGCGGGTAAAAGCGAAGGAGTGATACCTTTTGTACATACATGCATACATTGGCCAATGTTCGAAATCGAAACTGGCGAACGTTGAACGAAGGTAGATCTTCCAGGAAATTCAGAGAGCGCGCGGGAGATGGAGAATGCGATTTCGTTTGATTCCATTGAACACTGTGTCGCTTTCAGAAATAGTTTCGAACATTTCTGCGAGCCGATCGATTCGTAATTGACGTTCGATCGCCGATAGGCAATCGATGAAACAGGCTCGATGGCTTTTTCTTCTTGGAGAATCTCTTCGAAAGAAACGGGAAGAGGATTATACGATAATAGGTTCGATCGAATTTCCCGGTGAGCGTTGCTTTTATTTTCGCGTTCGGGCAACGAAGTTATTACGCATTCCGCGTCAGTCGCGCCTCGATCGCGGCGAAATTATTGTCCGTTGCGTTTCGTAATCCCTTCGGTAGTCGATGTATATCCTCGCGTTTCTTGCAACGTGCTTCGTACGATCGCGCTTGTACACGCCGCTACATCGTACGTAATGCACGTTGCATTCCTCTCGACATTCGTACGCGCGTTATGCATTCCTAGTGGATTCGACCTCGATGTCGTGTTATTAATGTCCATTACGTTATATAAACGAACTCGCAGTCGCTGCAGAGTGGCAACCAGTGATGCGATCCCACGTCTGTCCGAGGATTCGCGAAACAAAGATCGAAACATCGTAGGATCGATAACAAAGTACATATCTTTATCGACGATTCTACCACACACGAGGTATACGAGTAGACCTTAAGTCCAGTGTATTTTTTCGGCCCATTACACAAGAGAAAGTGAGACAGAAAACAAAATTACAGAAACATTCCTGGCCACACTTTATATTTTCGGCAAAGAATTTTTTTTCTCGAAAGTCCGTAGGATTTCGGGGGTATGTCTGTTCATAAAAAATGATTGTAATTGATCCCCATAGCTAAAAATAATTTTTTTAGAACGATTTGAAATTTTTTTTTTGCGGAAAAGTTTGTCCACCTTCCTGAATTTTTCTCTCGAAACTTGATAGGAATTCGGGGGTATATTTATTCACCAAAAATGATTGTAATTGACTCCCATAAACGAAAATAATTTTTTCAGAACGATTCGAAATTTTTTTTTTTCGTCGAGAATTTAGGCACCTACCCCCTGTCGATTTTTCTTAAAAATTCATTTTTTATTTTTAATAAGTTTGTTTGACACGCTACAGAAATTTTGTCTAATACTTTTTTGTAGGCACCCATGAGCTCTACTCCAGAAAAAAGTTTCATTGAAATATATTCACTATTGTAGGATTTATGGCTGTTTGAAATTTGGACCATTTTTATGGAGTTTTACTCATTTTGCGGGGTCAAGGAACAACTTTTCGAATATTTTTAGAATTTCTACATATTCTACACTAAAATACGCGTCGTTTGCCTTTTTAAACATTAAAATCGTCCGATCCGTTCAAAAGTTATGACGTTTTAAAGATTCACATGAAATTTCGGGGAACCATTTCAGGGCCAAGGATTATATTTTCGGTAAGGAATTTTTTTCTCGAAAGTGCGTAGGATTTCGGGGGTATGTCTATTCACCAAAAATAATTGTAATTGACCCCTGCAACTAAAAATAATTTTTCTAGAATGATTTGAAAATTTTTTTTTTCGCCGAAAATTTGTCCACTTACTGAATTTTTTTCTCGAAAATGGATAGGATTTCGGGGGTATGTCTATTCACCAAAAATGATTGTAATTGACCCCTGCAACTAAAAATAATTTTTCTAGAACGATTTGAAATTTTTTAATTTCTCCGAAAAAATCCACCTTCTTGAATTTCATTCACGCTGTAGTCCGTAAGGTATAAGGTCTACTCGTATAGCTAGGCCGTGATTGTACAACCGGGGTGGCCTCGAGGCTGGGTAAAAATTATTTCTTTCCGTCAGTATCCCAACTTTTATAAAACGCACTTTTAATCTACGATCGCGCTGCGCGTCGACGCGTAAATCACCGCCAAAAGGAAGCGGGTTTTGTAACATTTCGAGACAGGTGTTCTCCATTGCGTCAACCCGTAGCAATTTGAACCGCACCGGAGTACGCGTGTACATACGTACAAAACTCACGGTCGTAAGGAGATTTTAAGAACGTCCGCGACCGTAGAGAGTTAAGAAGCAGTTTCTTTTTTCGTTGTGCTCGTTTGCTGTCGCGTTGATCGCGAAGGGTCAGCCAAAAAGAGAGGCGTAAACAATCCGTCAAGAAATATGTATATCGCGAACGGTCGGAGTCGCGAGGTCGATGCTACGAGCGAAGCTAACGGTAGAATACGTTTAGGTGCGCTTCCCGATACATGGCTGCTGCCACGTATAATACCATATCCGTACGTATTCAACCATCCAGGATTGGCTGATGTATGCATTCACGAATACTTAGGCGAGACGAGGCGAGCAAAAAGGCCGCCGCGACATGCGCGAATCCTCGCGACCTTTCTCTTCCATTCACCGCGGTTCGAACAATTTCTAGCGGCTAGCGAGCGACCGGGCGAGCACGTTCTCGCTGACTAATTAAATGATTGATCGTTTGCGGCCGGCAAATTATCGTGCCGCCTGGCCGACAAATTAACCGCCCGGACAGGCCTCGACCGTGGTCGATCGGATTTTTCATCGCCGGAAGTAAAACTTGGCGGCCAGAGCTAACCAGTGAGCTAAATTTACTCTCGAATCGCACGAGAATCTTTCTTTCCCTCCCGTCCCTTTCATTTTTCCCTTTGCTCCTCGGCAAGAGGAGCTGCGTCGCTCCTTTGTGCGCATCTTTAATATGCAACAAGGACCACGGACTCGTCGAGCTGAATCGACAACGAGTCCTCGCGCCTGGGTTGCTACCATCAAACCCACCCTCCTAGAAATCTCCCGTTTCTCGAGGACACCCTTCTGTCCTTAGAATTTGTGAGAAATCTCTTTTGAAATGGAGCGTCTCGACGTGTATACGTATTTATTTCGCCGATCGCTAGCCCCGATGGGACGGACGGTGCCCTTTGCGTCCAGACAGACGAGGGGGGACCGAATCTAGGCTTTTCTAGCATTTTTACAATTTCTTAGAATTCCTTTTTTCCTTCTTTCTCATAGTTTTCTTTTGTGTACATGCGACGTGTAAAATAATTGTATCTTCCGCGCGAACAGTTGTATAATACATTCGGTATTAGACTCTTTGATGTATTTCAAGCAGGCCACGAACAACATTGCTTCCGCAATTTTTTTATATACATTATTTTTTACGTAAACGTATCGTCGAATTTCAAAGTTAAATCACGAACACGAGCGTGACCCGATAACGAGTATCGAACGGCGATCGAGACCATGAGCCTGGCAAACAGCGCGGCGTTCCATGTTCAAACTATTCTTAAGAACACATATAATGGACGTTGCACGGTGAAAGTGTGCGAAAAGGGGCTCAGAAACCATGTCGGGATAAGAATGCCGCGTAAAAGTACGTGTCGCTTTAACAATGACTATGGGAAACGGAACGAAAGAAAACGAGGAGAAAGAGAGAAAGAGAGAGAGAAGCGAAAGAATTCTCGTGCCCACGGTCGACGATACGCGTCGAAGATTGCCAATAGCCGACAAGACATCGTCGAACTGTGAAAATTACGCCGCGAAAGAGAAATCCTCGCGTTGATAATGAGAGTTCGATGGTAATTATCGAGAAACTCGCGATCAAGAGGGAACAGAACGAAGGAGAAGCGCAACTACGATGGATTCGATCAAATTCCTTTATTTATTAAGAAACAACTAGGATAGAGTCAAAAGGGTAGAAGAAACAAATCTAAGATGTTGTTAAGAAGATTTTTATTGTTCCAACATTGCGTGATGTAACGAAACAAGAAACAGGCTCGCACGTGAGATGGAATAGGTGAGAAAATCGGTGACACACGCGGCAGCCTCCGCTCTCGAGGCGGAGTAGTTACTTCCGGTGGGCCGATGATTCATTGCGGGCAAAAGATGTATCGCGTAGCGTTGTGTTGCGCGTGAAATCATGTTCGCCGTTCAGTGTTGGAAGCGCGAGTCGAGCAACCGGTCGCCACGCCTTTGCTCTCGATGTCCAGAGAAATTAAAAGAGCGTCGAACCGCGCGCGTATCGTCTCGCGGCGTCGTGCGTTGCGTCGCCGGTGAAGAATAACGCCTTTGAACGCATCTAGAGTTTATTACCGCGTGGTACACACGTCGAAATGTTCATCAAATACGTGGACGTGTTCACGGACGAGGGTTATGCATCGGACTCGACGACTGTAGGTACATAAAACGTGCGCGTGGTCCGCGACATCAAGTCCAAGATATATCGTTACCGCTCGACGAAGAATCGTAATCGAGAATCAGTGGTTTCTCATCGATCGATCGTGCAAGTTTATGATAATCAAACAATGAATCGCTTTAACTAGCAAACCCCTGTATCGTTGTATGTACAAACGCGTGGTATCCGAATTAAATAAATCACCGTAAAAATACTGATGTGTACTCGTCGCGATATTTTCGTCGATGTTTCGCGTTGGTTCGAACGAAATCGATCGAATTATAATCGTTTGGTTTCTTGGCACGGATCCCGGCAAAAACATTTATAGATAGTTATATCGCGCACGGTAAACAGCAACGAAAACCGAGGAACAGCAGATGCAAACCACTTTGCACCTCGTCGCAACTAATCGTAACCAATGAATCAACCGCTCGTGTTGTCTATTCCTTGAACGGATATCGAATAGTCGAACGGTGATTCGTCGCGATTTGCATAACTTACCTCGATGCATCGTCGATAGTAATTGCTTCGATCATCCTGCATGAAGCTTAATCGTACCGTTATTTACCAAATACTGAATAAATACTGAATGTTTTTTTGGATGTTACAGGTCCAGAGGCTGGCCGAGTACGAGAGGTATCTGGGCCAGGAAGCGAGAAATTTAGTGGAGAACGGAAACGGAACCGTCGGTAGCGGCGCCGTTCTCCAGCGCGGTCAGCTCGAGGGCGATCTTCATCGGATCCAAGAACTGTTCCCTGGCGATAATCTTCGACTACACGAACGAGATGTTCTCACCACGGTACTGCTTCAAATCTTGAAAGAAACAATTTTTAAGTAAATTTCGTTTAATAGTTTAGTCGGTAAACTGTTTCTAATTGTGCGTTACACGAACCGCATTATAAAGCTCAGGAGATCCATATTCTCCTGTTGGTTTTCTTCTAAACGATCATCGTCGTTTTAGAAAATGAAGAGTTTGATCCGCAAGAGAAATGGCGGGACCCCCGGACGACTGACCAGAGTGTTATCGCAAAAGTCGTTGAACGTACCCAGCAATTCACCAGCCCCTAAATCTCCACCGAGGACTTTCCTTTTAGAAACTCCAGTACAATTCACCACGGTAAGAGAACGAGGGAATCATTTGTAACGCGTTATTATACAGTTAACTAAATAATTCCATGATTTGTAGGGCGTTCAGTCTCAGGAAAGACATCTTTTCCTGTTCTCCGATCTGTTGCTGATAGCAAAGGCGCGAAGCGGGGGTAATTTCAAGTTGAAACAATCCGTGAGGATGAGTGAACTCTGGCTGACGGCTGGTCACATAGAGGACGTGGCCGAGACGAGCAAATCTCAGGAAACCAGCTTTGTTCTCGGCTGGCCCACCACAAACGTCGTCGCCACTTTCATGTAAATACCATCAGAGATAACAGAGATATTATGTATGCTCGAGATAAAAGAAAAAAAAAAGATAACCCGTGTATCAACGGAGAAATGTAATAGTCGCGTTGAGAAAATCCAGGGCGCAGGATATCTCGAGAGCCGTGCGTCCGTGAGTTTCTAGTCGTCTAAATTGCTGCGCATCAAGGTTTATTTCTTTCTTCCAGGACTGCTGCAGCCAGGGATCTCTGGTGGGGACGTCTGACCGAGCTGGTACGAGTGGAGAGTATGAAGGAGCCACCGGATACGAACATTCAAGTCGTGTATCACGACAGTGACACGAACGCGGAATGCGTAAGTACAGTCCTTGTTCCCCGCCGCGCAGAACCTAGAGATACACGCACGCGGTCACGCCTTGACGGTCCATTCTTCGCGCACCCTCGAGAGGGGGGAAGTTCGATCGTTTGACCTTCCTGCGGAGGCATTCTTCGCTCGAGATGCCCCTTTTATACCATTGACGTCAACCTCGAGTGGATCGCTCCCGCTAAAAAGAGAGCTTCGTTCTATCTGTTGGGCTTCGTCGACGCGTTCCCTTGGCCGGCGGTGTTCATTATCGACCAGCGAATTGCATTTAAATACACGCAATCCACTCGAGTGGCTCTTTGCGTTTGCCGGAAGCTGGCCGGCTCGACGGCAATATCGTGGTATCGTAATACCCCTGTAATCGCGCGATGGAACGGATCGTTATTCTTAGAAATACGTGGTATTCCCGATTGTGCGTCAGCCGAAAGCTACAGCGCTGTTCCCGTGTGTTCGCAGTGCAAGACGATAATGGTGGGATCGAAAATGACGGCAGCAGCCTGCGTAAATCTGGCCACGCATCTGCTGGACCTCCAGGGACCGTTTCAGCTGTGGGCCAGAACGTCCGCGGACGAGGCGCCTTATCCTCTGATAGGTCACGAAAGACCTTTCGCCGTGAAGCTCTCGAATCTGCGGCATACCTTGTCCGCGGACGAGGGTTTCGACTTGGAGCACTGCAACAAGAGCGGCCACGACACCTGCCACTTTATCCTCCGGCCCGTGCCCAAGTCGCCGGTGAAAAAGAACAAATCAAAGATCACCGGATTATTGAGGAGATCTCTGTCGCTGAATCCGAGCTTGTTCGGCGTTAATTTGTCCAGGCTCGACGAGAACGGACTCCCGAAGCCCGTGCTGGTGATGCTGCAGCAGCTGTTTGCCAAAGGTCCGTTCACGCAAGGGATCTTTCGAAAGTCGGCGAACGTCAGAATTGTCCGCGAGTTGCGAGATCAGATCGAATCCACGGGCGATCCGAGTTGCCTCGAGGACGCGCCGATCATAGCGGTGGCAGCCTTGCTCAAAGATTTCTTGCGGTTTTTACCGGATCCTTTGCTAACCTCTCATCTCTTTCCTCTCTGGATGGATAGCTTGGACACGCCAAATCCTATTCAAACTATTAAAAAGTGAGAATTCTTTCGTTCTCGTGCAATGTTTCAATGCTTTACGTACTTGTTCGCACCGAATGGTTAACGGAACCGATGTGTTTGGTCTTTTCAGTATTTTAGATAAATTGCCCAAAGCGAATTACACTCTGTTGTCGCATCTGATATGCGTCCTGCATCACGTGGCGCGGCGGTCGAAACACAATCTGATGTGCGCCAGTAATCTCGGTGTCTGTTGCGGGCCCAGCTTACTTTGGTCCCCGAATCCTTCGGTAAATCAGAGCAGGTCGATTCCCACGCTGACGGAGATGCTGATCCGTCACTGCGAAGTTCTCTTCGGCGAGGGCGTCACGCAGCTCCTCGGGGAAGAGCGCAGCGACAGCGGAGCCGAAGAGAGTACCGATAGCCTTCACTGTGAGTAATTTTCGAATTGCCAAGTGTCCCTTGTTGGTTCGAATCGGTAATAAATTCATTCTATAGAGTGCTTTAACGGTCCACTGAGATACGTCTTTCGTTGCAGCAGGTGGGCTTTCCCTGGACAGCCTGGACCTGACGGAACCACCGCGAAAAGATCACATGTCTCTCTCGAGAGACTCTGGGTTAACCCTGTCAGATTGTCAACTGTTCATTCCAGAATCGCCGGTGGGATCCGAGGATTCTGCCGTGAACGCCTCGTCGTCGAGTTTCGATAAGTCTCTCGGCAAGGAGGACAAGTCCAGCAACAAATCGTACACCCGCGTATACGGTGGATGGGAGGATAGAATAAACGGCTATACCGCGAACAATCATCACTCGAGCGGCATGGAGCACGGCGGTTTTAGAGAGGAGAAGAGCAGCATCGGTTATCCGAATCCGAATTTTCAAAGGCAGGACTGGCTGAGAGCTCAGTTAAAGAGAACACCGCGAACGAAGCTCGACGAGCACGACCACCACCGCAAGGAGAGGTTCGACGAGAAGGACATATACGGCAGGGAGTATCTTCGGCAAGATTCGATGAAGGAGAACGTGGAGAACTGCAAGGACATTTACAGAACGTCGCAGTTGGATATAACGCACGACCTCAGATCGGAGTACGAAAGATCGTCGCAGCAGGAGATCTGCACGGAGCGAGTCTCGGTCCACAATTCGGAGCAGGATTTGTCAGAGGACGCGTCGTTGTCCGGCGACAGATACGAGTTCAAGAAGGATCGGTTCAACGAGTTCAAGAAGGTAAAGTCGGAACTGTACGTGAATCGCGACTCGCCCGTTTCGCAGAACGGTAGCTACCATTCGAGCAGCGATCTCTACGAGTTCAAGAAGGTGAAGAGCGAGATATACGAGAACAAAGAGAGCACGCGTACCGAGAGATACGAATCCGAGAGCAACATATACGGAAACAGGGAGAGACGAAGCGAGATATACGAGTCGAGGGAAAGAAACGATCTGTACTCGTTCAAGCAAGCCGAGGCGATCGATTTGTACGGCGACGAGGACGAGGAGGAGGAGAGAACGTGGCCGGACACGCCGCCGCCTTTACCGCCGAGACTGAGGCATCTGCCGCCGGTGCACATGAATCTGGAGGACAGGCACAAAGTGGCCGGAAGGTCGAGGTCGCTTCCGCCGCCGCCTCCTTATCGGCCGCCGCCTCAACCCCGTGCCTCGGTTACCGCGAGACATTTGGGTTACGGGAGATCCGTCGTCGACGACGAGAGCTACGTTTGAGACGAGGAGAGCCAGAGACGCTGCCCGTTTGCGCGCACTTACGACAGAATCAAAGTGCCGGGAGTCGCTGGCCGAGACCACGGATATACGCGTTACTCGGTGTAAACGTGATCTCGTTATGACAGAAACTAGTCCAAACTGGAACGCACGTACGATATTTCGAGACGGCAGGCGATCTAATCAACGTTGTCATAGAACGAACAGGGAAGGGTTGTTTCGTTGATCTAACAAAATTGGTACGGTGGATGGAGAGATCGTACACAAAGGCGTCACGCCGTATCACGCCGAAACAAAGTCAATAACCGTGCGCTATCGATTCTTGACGATTCTTAGCGATATTACTACTGTGTTACGCAGTGATTCAGGGTGCTTCCACGAGCCTTAACCGTAAGGTTTCTTTCTTAATTAGACGTTCGTTATAAAGATGTTATATTAGTAAGTATAGACTGTAGCGGACAAGACTTGCGTCGAGATGATATTATTCGTAATTATACGCGAATCGAAATAGTTGTAAAAAATATATATACACGTGTGTGTACAAGCAAATGTATCGAACCGTGTGTGTCGTTGTTGAAAGGATAAACAAGCGTTTCCTGCCCTTTAAAGTCTTGGAAAACTTTTAGATTCGTGGAACGTACGCCGCTAAAATGAAATATAAATTTTTATCGCAGCATCGAGAGAGGAGATACTCGTTTTCCATTCGATCATCTTTAAATACGTTCGTGTAGCCGATACGCACACCTTAAAAATGTTTCGTGAGTTCTAGATTGTTCGTGTACTCGTTTTGAACCAACGAAACAGCACCAACTTATCACCGTGTCGCGTTTTATCGGGTTTTCTCTTGCAATATATGTACATTCGCGTCTTACTCGCTCTTTTTAATCTTCTCTTACCCGAAATTGATTTACCCGGGGAATGAACATGACAATTCATAACTCTTTTCTCTCTCTCTTTGTGTGTGTACGCGTGTGTGCGTGCGTAATTGTGTGCGTGTAAGAGAAAATTGTAATTATCACTCTTCGTTTCATCCTTTTCTTTTTAAAAAATTTAGATCGTGCAAATCGTAGAGTGCTTCGTACTGCATTTGCAAGCGCGATTATCTTAAGGCAATAAGATATACACCAGAAGTTGTCGGAAGCATTTTAATCACATCCAAACATTTTTCGTTCTTTGTAAATATACTTATTTGTAAAACTTGTAATCTTTTATATCGCTAAATGTATTACACGATACACGCTCTATGCAACGCCTGTAAGGTATGTATACTTTATCTAAATTATACGACATACTATGAAAAGTTAAATATATTTCGTATTTTATACAGTTGTCTGTGTTATCGAGTCGTTCATTTCTTGCATCGTACTACGGCCATGGACGAAATATCAAATGGCATTCTTTAAAATGATCGAATAGTCGTGTTTTTTTTTTTTTCACGTTACTTTCGCTCGAATGCCACTCGAACAAGCGTTTCCCGTTTCGGTAAATTGTTTCAAATAAATAGTGTTACAAGACCGATCATTGTAAAATGCAACACGAACCGACTATGAACTACGAGGAGTTTGCTAGCCTCCAATTGGATAAACCTATACCAGACATAAGAGTACGTATTAGAACAATTTGAATCGCTGGAAATAATTGGTCCATTCCATAACCTGTACGTGCATTCCTAGAATGAAGAGCAACTGCGAAAGCACAGTCTGGATCCTAATTTGGAAAAACGGCCCATGGACAGAGCGATTCATCTTTTATCGTAAGTGAAGGGACGTGCGCGTAACGAATCGTTTATTGTTCGTTCGTACCAATATCGACAAAACAGTTTACTCACTCCGGTGACTTCGTTGTTACGAGTTATTCACGGGTTGCGTGATCTTCGCAAAGCCGTAGTATCCTTGAGGCTTTGTAATAATAGCAATTTCGCGCACACTGCCTCGACAATTCACCGTACAAAGCATCGAATCAAACTACGTAATCCTCGCGCGCTTATCGTATCAAGACGGGGTCGCGTGATCAATTAATTTTATACGAAGCTAAATAACGGTTAGAGAAATGAAAATCTTTCTTACTGTCGCGTGTACAATAGGTACGCTGTGTTACGTGGAAACAACAGCTTCGAACAACGTTTATTATGTTATAAATAAGAAGAGAAAACTAAATTCGTACGTTATACATAACTGTATGGGGAGGCAGGCATCTTGATCGCGGTCGAATCATCTTTCGAGATTTCTAGCAAGCGAACGATAAAGTCCCATCTATACGCGGTATTTATTTTCTTGGAATTATGTAAAGGACACTCCCAGAACCGATATGCATCAATGCGCGAAAATTGCTAGGTGACTCCATAGGTTTGTTGATTACACAACATCGACTCCTGATCAAACGCATCACGCTATTGTATTACGCGCGACACTGTGTTGTTACGTATGCTCCGTCGAGGAACGCACGTAGGCAGCGCTCGGACAATTCCGATGCAGTTCGGGTATGCTCGCCGTCTCGTACGACAAGTCAGATATAATCGATACCTTAGAGTTGGAGCCCAGTTTAGTTGTCATCCACGTTCCGTCGTGTTGTTTTTCTTGCGTCAAATGCGTCAGGAGAGTGCGTACGCGTGTATCGTCGACCACGTACGGGAATCAATCGGTCGGTCGCTACGCTAATCAGTGTTATCGTTAAATAAAATGCGCGTGAAAAATGTTGCAAGAGGAAGATAAAGCTCCGTACGAGAGCGTACTAGACCTGTGAGTAAAATTGGACAGTGGTAGTTTAGAGTTTTCTAGCCAGAGAAACGCGTGTTCGCGATCAGACTGTATTTCATTTCTTTCCCTGCTGTATTTCTCTTTCGTACAAACCTATACACGATTCCTAAAAATAACGCGGCGTCGTTCAAGGAGTGTACTGTCCTGTCGTCTAACCGTCGCTAATTATAGTCCTTTAAAGACAGTCACTCGTAAGAAATGACATTCTACGTACTTACGAGTAACTCGCAAACAATGTTCTGTCGGACCCTACTTACGGATTATACAACTTCGAGGTTTAGGTTATCGGATAATTTGACAGCATTGTTGGTTGTGTCTTCGTTGTCCTTTTTTCCGATAAAAAGATCTTAATAATAGCACTCTTGTTGAATCTTTGAAATACGCCAAATTCGATACGATGCGACTGTACGTTTGCATGTAAACATTGCACCCATGCAAACTATACCGACACACGCGCTCCAAAAGGATACATTATGTAAAGATTCTTGTCCTTGGCGGTTGCATACATTTAAGAGAAATACCGCGAGTGTGACGACGATGTTACTATAAAGTTAACGATACCACATCTTTACACCAAACAAACGAAACCGTTTATTTGTTATTTGAATGGAATAAAATTTACAAATAATTACAACCGTAATTACTTTCGATTTTCCGTTTTTCTTTCCCCAGTAAGATGTTTTTATTATCACTATTGCTGTTTCCTGTTTTTTTACTATTCAAACGCGTCTATGATTATTCCAGGAAAGGGGATGATTATCAACAACTCAGTGTTATACACAATTTACCGAGTCTCTTAGCTACAGACACGCAATCATGTATGTCTCGTGTGGTACCAAAAATGCAGCAATCGTTGCCTACTGCATCTACAGAGTTTCACCTTGCAGCCTCATCTACGTTCAAAACAATATTAGAGCAGAAACTTGTCAGCCATAATGTCTTCAGTCAAACATTCCTCCAAAGTATATTAAATTCGCTTGACAGTCGTGATCCAGGTAAACTAATTCTATCTGCTTGTATAATAGAGTTGCTAGCTCAACCCGTATCGACAGTTTCATGCATTTGATGTTACTCTACATAATTTAACTGTATATATACATTTAAAGTCGTTTGTGATGCATGGCTGGAGACCTTACTGGATGTGATAGAGTTACTGCCGGTAGAAGTCATAAGATTGCAGGTTCGTATAGACAATTTTAGAAATTGGTATCTAGGAAACATTACTAATTAGAGGAGCAAATGTATTGTTTATGTAGTGTACGTGTGATTACATTATATTGAACTTGTAGTAAATTAGTAATGAAATTAATTTATTTTATTACTCCATGCTAGACTAAGCATCAAGTACTCTGTCAAAATTCATTTATTGCAAATGGTTGCTATTTATTTGACACAGCTTCAACGATATATATATATATATATATATATATATATATATATTATTATCTAACAAAACTTAAATATTATTTAAATCTAATAAGATTGCAATATCGATTTAACAATAATAGAAATAAAATCGTACAGATTCTTCCATTGACTATAATGAAAGGACAATTATCACAACCTATCTACTCCAGGGTAACGTGCAGCAGGTTACTAGGAAAAATTTGTACAAGATTTGATTCTGCTATGTGAGTATGTTTTGTCTTTCCATGACGATTGACAACTTTACTCGTTGGGGGTACCAGTTTACGAACGAAAAATTAGACGCGCGGGAAGTACTGAAGATAGTCTCGTTTCTCGATAGAGTCATTAAATAAAGTATACGTATTGAAATTTTTGTCAGGATACAGAAGGAAGTTCTACCAACGGTACATTCCCTCTGTCAGGATGTAAATAGCGAAGTACGAGCTAGTATCTGCTTGCAGCTACGTTTTGTTGCCGAAGGCCTTGGTGCTGAGTCTGTAAAACCTGCTTTGTTACCGTCTCTCGTAGAATTAGCAAGCGACGAAGAAAGCAATGTAAGATGCACCTCTGTACAGACAATAGTGTACTTGCTACCTCATCTTCAAGAAGGTATGCTTGATGACTAGTTGTGCATTATTCATTAAGCATTCCAAGTTTCTAGTAGCGACGTATATTGCTAATTTCGACGAATACAATTAAAATCGAGATTAAATTTCTTGCTATCGTCTTTACAGATACAATAAAAACTACCATAGTGCCACTTGTTAAAAAATTATGTGAGAATGCAATGAAATCGGACGATAATGTGATATGCATTATTGCCCAGGAGTTTGGAAAGCTCGTACTTGGTTTGGAAAGTAGGATCCTCTTTCTTTTTGGACTTTTATTCTCGTACCTTTCGAAAAAATGATATCTATTAAATATTTTAGAATGCTTATTACCCACGGAAAAAGCATGGTTTTTAAAATATTTTCAACAACTTGCGCAAATGGGTATTGTCTCGATGAAAAAAGAGTCCAAACCTCACCTTCTGTTTGTGAGTATACGTATGCGAAAAGAATTCAAGCGAAAATCGTAGGGCTTAAGTTACATTCTTTCTGCATTATGCCTGTGTTACCTTAGATGACTAGTAATCCAGCCGAAGATGAGAAATATATGGAATGCAGAAGGTGTTGCGCTTTTAATCTACCCGCAATGTTTCTTTTTGTGTCAAATTCGTCGGACGATACGGACGCGTTACTTCTTACGTTTAACGCGTTGGTGAACGATCACTATTACATGGTTAGAAGAACTGTAGCAAGTGGAATTCATGAAGTAAGCGGTATTATTCTTTTCTACGCATCGACACGAAATATTATATGGAAATTGTACGCGTAGGTGGCTAAGATATTGGGTCCAAAGAGCGGTCGAATAAAATTAGACCTAATAAAATTATTAAAGGATGATTCGAAGGAAGTTCTACAAGGTTTAGTTCCTCACATAGGATTACTGCTTGATTGTTTAGCCGAAAGTCAAACTATCGGAGTAGATAGGATGGTTTGTAGATCTTTTTCACGTTGCATGTTGTTAAACGCGTTCGGTTAATTCGCATAACGTTATTCGTCGAACGCAGGACTCTACTCTGATGGAAATTGGCAGAGCATTAATAATATGTGAAGTAGAAATATCATCTACACGTAATTGGAGACTAGCGGTATTAATGCATTCACAGCTCGAAATAATAGTCAAATACTTTCCAAGCGATTTTATATATTCAAATTTTGTGCCAATGGTTTTTTTCAGAATATTACACGCTGTAAGTTTTAAAAAATAATATCGTTATGCTTAATACGCTCGGGGAATATAAAAGAATAATTTTGTTTATAAATTTTAGAGGCCAATACCTGTACGTCTTGCCGCGGGAACGTTATACCTTTTCCTTTTACGTTATAACATGAAACCTACTCAAAGGGTAGAACTTCGAAGCAGGTTATACACAGAGCTGGCTAACAGTCCCGACTGTTACGTGAGAATGATGTTTGTTCGTATGATGGTAGAGGCCTTAGAAATTTTCTCTTCCGTATATTTCAAGGAACACTTTTTCAACGTTTTATTGAACATGGCTGAGGATCCTGTAGCCAACATTAGGATTAAAGTAGTTTCCCTGTTGCCTCAATTGAAAGGCCTGTTATGGATACCGACGGATAAAAAATTGTTAACGGCGTTAGAGACGACTATAGGACATTTAATGAACAGCGAAAAGGACAGAGACGTAATTGCCGTGTTAGCAACTGTTGTGCGGAAATTGAACGAGATGAAACTTAAATACGATGGCCAAACTGTAAGTGATGATAAGCACACGTAAGTTTTATGCCGCAAAGTATTTTTCTTATTGAGATATGTATCTTATCGCAGCCAGCGAGTAAACATACGAAGCAAGATATCGAGGATACTAGGAAATTAGAAGAAGAGAAAAGATTGTCAGGACTGACGCCTGGAAAATCTTCGTCCGGAGGGACTGCAATGAAAAAGGGTACTTTATAGTATACCAATCGTAATAATATATACTGTTGTTTTTCAGACAAACATCTTTTATCGCAATTAAAATATTACGGTTGTAGGTGCATGGCGACGACCACCGGATAATCCAGGGAAAACAATGTAAGTCGTGTCTCTGTTCTAATTGTAATCTTTAGATTCAAACATTGTTAATTTCCATCATCGATTAATTTAATATGTATTTCATCATTTCCAGACCGCCGACATCATCAAAGGGTAAGGTGTACTAAAATTGTTAACAGCTCGAAGAAAAAGAAACAATCATTAAATGCGCGTGACGTGTTACAGAAGGTAGTGGATCACCTCGTCACTCGAGCGAAGGAACAAGAGGAAGGTACGCAAACTTTCAATTCATTTTACTGCATTCCAGCATAATACTAACGTATTAGTTCAGCAATATTAATTATACGATATTACGAATTTAGAATCTATCGAAAACATAACCGTGACATTCGATCGAAGCATGTCTAACGATTTTGGGTCTTGACGGGAAATAGAGTTAAACGTGATCGTTTTATTAGTTCGCTAACATTTTCAGTAAAAGTCTAATGTAAAGTTCTGCACGCTTTACGTCTAACAGAATTCAACTAACACATCCTTGGGAAAGACTAGGTCATACTAACTCGAATGCTAGTACGACCCATGCTAACTTTGAGAGTGGGCCATGTCACGATTTTCTGATGCAAAAGATGCAACAAAATCGCTCGAAATTGGCCTCGTTGCCGTTGATAGTATGGCCGGATTCGTGCGAGTGCAACTACGAGGAGGAGAACAATGTCCATTCTTGTCCCCCGTCCGACTACGCTACATCCGTTTTCCTGGCGTTCATGAGAGAAAATCGACGAAAGTCGCAGCAAAACTCCCTACTAACACGAGACTATGCGCGTGAATTCTCCACTAACATCGCTAGCAAGGACACTGCCACTGCGAGAACGTTTTCCAGTGCTCCTAATCTGGCTATGCTCAGAGCACTGACCAAAGCGGCTCACTATAACTCTTGTTGGCCCTGTAGCTCGATGCCGGAAATACCGGTGATGCTGTCGGACGACGAGTTCCTCGTGGACGCCGGTATCCGGATACCTGCGCAATTCTCTTCGCAAAGCATGTCGAAGATACCGCACCTGCAGGATTCGGTATTCGGAAAGAGAAGGGGTTCGTTCAATTTCGACCGTTCGCGTAGCGTCGGCATGAACTTCGAGAAAGGGAAACCCAAGAGGAATTCGTCCGTCGAGTACGAGGATTGCATGAAACGGAGAACCAACGGTGCCGATCAATCGAACAACGGAAGGACATCGATGGACTGCGAAGATGACATGAGATTGGTGAAGGAGAGTCAACAGTTGGGCAAAAAGGACACGGTGTACATCGGGCCGATGATGAGGTCGAGATTCGGGTTCGGTGTGAATCAGGAGCGATCGATAGAGGAGAAGATTAAACGTAACTCGCTGATATTGGATAAGGACAAGCCGAAGATTTTGCAGTCAAAGTGCGCGCTGGATAGGACTAAGCGGCATTCAGCGAGTTTCGATAAGGGAAAGCCGAAGAGAAACTCGTCGATCGAGTACGAGGACGACATGAAACGTAGAACGAACGGAACTAACCACCAGCCGAAGGATCTCAGGACCTCGATCGACTACGAGGACGGGTTAAGACTGGGGAAAGATGATCAACAACTGGACGCAAAGGATTCGTCGATGTATCTCGGGTCTCTGGTTAGAACGAGGTTCGGGTTTGTCAATCAAGAAAGATCGATGGACGAGAAGATGAAACGAAACTCGTTGGTGTTGGAGAAGGATAAGCCGAAGCTGGTGCACGCGAAATGCACGCTAGATAGGACTAAACGACACTCGGCGAACTTTAGCTTAAAGCAGACGGACACGAAGGATATTAAACCCAATTTGAAATGCCACAGCTTAGAAGTGGTCGATTACGTGCCAAGCGAACGCCTCGGCAGGGCCCTCAGGCGGTATTCAACCTTGGACGTGAATCATAATCAGGGACTTAGCAAAATACCCTTAAGGAGTTTTGTACCTCGTAGTAGAACCGCTCCAGCTACCAGAGCCTCGAGCCCGGTACACATAGACAAGCTGTGTCGAATGCCGTTTTGGGAATCCTAGAGACAGACAAACGCGAAATCACGGATACATTTCAAACAGACGAGACGAAAAGATTCCTACGTCCATCGGTTTTATCGCATTTGCTAAATCGTCGCATTACAGGTTACAGAGATAGAATATATTCGTGGGATACACGTGGTGGCTTTTCTTCCGTTTTGTTCGCTGCACACAATTTGGCTCGAGAGATCGTCGTGAATCATGTATCTTCCTTTTCTACCTGTAAATTTTCTTAACAAATTCATGATTACATATCCTGTGTAGGTTGACCGTTGTAATCATAGTACATTCGATAGGGAGAGCAATCGTATTTCCAATGGTCAGAGAACGTTAGGTTCGCGATCAACGAAGAACGATAGTAATGCCTCTGCCTCTAATCTTTCGAGAAGATTTTTCCAAACGAGTAGTCGGCTATTGAAAGGCGTCAAATTAATAAGATTACGGAGTCGCAGGCATCACTGTTCGCTCAACTATGATACCGTTAATAAAATTTCGACAGTGGAAATCTATTTCCATCTCTCATCGTAGCTATTGAGAACAGTAAACTTCGCAAACAGTTTCTCAGCATTTTCTTTCACGAATTAACGAGGTACTCAACAAAATTGTTACGAGGGCTGTTTAGCTAGTTTGTTATCTCGTGCCTTTTTCACAGAGCCATCTAACGCTCTACGCCGCTTCTCGTAGACAGCCTAATAATATATGTATATTCCAGTTCGTGCGCGATCGGTATGTTTCTCATCACGTTCCATTGTTAGGAGATGCCGCCGAGGCGCAAATAGAAAATCTAAAGCCTTCGAAGAACGGGTATCGTTGCATTAAAGTATTTCGTAACTGTTACCAGTAACGATCGGCAGTAAATCGGATACTAAATGAATATTTCGATAGATTCGTTTGATCCGGTCGTGTCGTAATTAAATGCACGAGATAAATTGCATCGATGAAACGAGTTTTTCGAAACGTTCCGTTTACTATTCCCGATGCATTTCTAATCGATTGTTACACGCGACAACTATTAAGCATTCGTGATTCGCATTTCTTTTAATCGCGAATAGTTCTGTATTAAAAAAAGAAAAATGTCTCTTTTGATATATCGATCGAGAGGATATATTGCGATAATAGTTAAACGAAACAGACACGCATGTTTGAGTTTGAAGACTGTTATCGAAACCCGTAAGAGTAAGGAAAAAGAAGATAAGACTATTTTGCACTTTATTTTATAGCTGCATATCTAATACGTATTGGCCTACGAAGAGAGTGAAAAGAATTATTCTTATTGTTAATAGAGTTTAAAGAGCAGTTGTTATTCATTAATTGAATATATTCTAATAGATTATTATACTAGGAGATAACAGAAAATAAAACGAAGATAGGGTTACAGTATTGTGTAATAGCCAATTCTAGGTCTAGTCTTGAATAGTTATAGAAGCAAGGGTAATTACGATGCCTGTAAAAAAGGTGTTCTTCAAACCCTGGATACGTTTTGTACTTTGCTTTTTACGACCGTCCTTTCATTCTCTTCTTCTTTATAAATTTCTTAAGTTGTAGCATCTTAGCGGGTACAGAGATTGTTCTATTAGTGTCGCTCACTGACGGGTTTTATTATCACTTTTAATAGAGCAACGTATCGAACTGTGCGGAGATATGAACCTAGTAGTAATTTTAGAAGCGTGCAATATTTATGCGTTTTAATTTAATCGTCTCGAGTATAGTTTCGCTTTTGCACCATATAAAGAGAACGATACTAGTTGTATCTAGCTAGCTGTACCATAATTTTATTCGATATCGATTCACGAATATTGACGCCGACAGATTCCGCCTTTATTTAACGAACCAGTGAAATCCACCAGGGAAGACAATTATAATTTTTTTCAAGCGCTACCTTAGGGATCGTCGATTCCCTCGTAAAACTTTAAACGATTAAAAACCTCTTCCCTGCACCGCAGATCGGAGTACTGTTGTGTCTTAAGTAAGAAATATCCACAAAATATCATACGTTCTTAACATGTACATATAGAGACTGACCAAGACGATTTAAAAAAGATGTCTATGCATGTATACCGCATCCAAAAAAACAAAAAAAAAAAAAAAAAAAAAAAAGAGGAAAGAGGTTCGGAAATGTCTAAGTACGAAAACACCAACAAAGATATATTAATGCAAGAAAGGAGCACCGTGTAATATCTTCGCAAGAATATTTTCATTGAGCTTCAAGAGATGATATATTTTCGAGCGGAGGAAAGAATAATGAGAGATATAAGACGCTTCGAAGCCAAAGATATTTGATTTCTAACAGTATGAAATTGAACAACGTACAAAGTCTTAAAGGCATTACGTACTTGTTGTGTACCATATACGTAAAACCGTTGTAAGCTTTACAGCGCAAGTGCCATTGAATACACGGGGATTTAAACGCCTGGAGAACGGTACCATCGATGGTATTCTCGATTAAATCACAAGAAACAACACTCTCGAATACCCAAATTACATGCCACCGGATAGTTGTCGCGAAATTTGTACGATATTTAACGTCCGTAGTCTCGGTTATTCGAGCCAAAAAAAAAAAGTAGCATAGTCGTAGTGTTTCAATATCGTTAAAGAAAACGAGGCATCGAACGTTCTATTAACTTGCTCGTTACGCTCGATGCTAATTAGTTTCGACTTTTTATCTTTTCTCGTTCGTTTCGTTGTAAGTACGAATTCTTAGGGAGTGTAAAATTGCTAGTCGATCCGACGCTGAGAGTTAATTACTATAATTTCCATCTCCAAACGAGATCCCAATTTTTGCACAAGCTGCTAAACATCGAGATACTCCTCGTTAATATTCGAATATCACAGTACATTTTATACTTGTTGATTTCTTCGTTTTTACATTGACTTGGATAATTTGTCAAAGTATAAAGCAGCGAATTGTAGGAAAGTTTTTTGATGTTTAAGTATCAACGAAGAGCGACTGTGGATCATATTTTATGTTTAGTGACTAGGACCGATCAATTGTTGCCGTATTTGATTGCGACGTAAGGTCATACTGCTACCGTACATTTACATAACGTAGCGAAGCTTATTCTGTTATTTTTTATAGGAGATTTTAGGGTAACATTGACCGTACGATTCGCGAAAAGCGAGAAATCGTGTAATCCGTGGAAACTCGAATCGATACGATGGAAAATTTCCAATTTAAAAGTAATTGCATTTACGACACGTTCAAACTTTCGTCAAAACACTTTGCGTATCCGCGGGATCGTACGGTCGTTGGATCCGCCAGGCGACAAAACTTCATTTTTTATAGAAAATCTTAGAATATATACAATGTAAAAAAAAAATGTAAACGCATACATGGTTAACGAAACTGAACAAATTGTTAAATGTGCAATTAGGGGCCGTAGAGGGACGCGCGGTTCGAAGAAAAACAAGTTGAATTGAACGAAGAGCGTTGCTCGAGCGCGTTTGTGGGAGGATTAGAAACAGAACGCGGGGAAAGTAAATTTCCTCGAACGTCGAGCATATTCATCAAGATTTATCGCTTAAATGCTGCTAATTTATTTTTGTACAGATCTACCGTACGGTAATACTAACTTTTGTGCCAGAAAGTAAACGAAAAAAATACACAGTCTAATTATATACGTATGTAAGTATATGCAGCACGGAAGAGCGAAAGTATACATATACACCGAACACGCTAACACTACGCAACACAGAGACACACACACACATACACTGGATACAGTATACGTATGGTTCTGTAAACAGACGTTCATTCTTAACAACGTATGTATTTCTTTCTTTATATACGTAGAGAAAAGAAAACAAGTACTTTTTATTCCTGACATTGTTAATACGTATATACACATACGTATTACATACATCTGCGTACATAAAATCGAGGAATCTGGATCGTCGATTGTCGCCAATTTTAACTTTTCGCACGATCGAGGAAGAAGAGAGAATTCACTGTGTTTGTATAATTTATTTATCGTGTACAAAAGAAGAAATCTGTTTTCGAACGTAACGGTTTGCTTTTCCAAGCGAACGGGCAACATGTGATGATAAAAAAACATATAAATACGTATTCAAACAAGAGAACAGGAAAAAGAGATAAACGAACAAATAATAAAGAGGACGTTCACGTTGTACGCGATGAACGATTAAATTCGTGGAACGATATTTTTATTACTCACGCTGCTCCCGTAAAGAATAAGGAATGTTATAAAACAGAAACAAAAAAAAAAATGAATTGTATTTTTGTGAGGTATATCTGTAATAAAAATATAGTTAAATGTAAAGAAAGTATATATGTATATATATGTATGTATGTATGTATATATACATATACATATATATACACACGAAAGAAAAAGAAAATGAACACCGCGATCGTAGATTTTATTGGCTCTGTCGATATTATATTATACATCTGTTTTAATATACGTTACGGACAAATAAATCGAACTTTTTTTGTTACGCAACCTGCCGTTTTTTCTTAAGAACGTTCGTTGCGATCCCTTTCATTCGCGTGTTTCAATTTCAATGTCCGCAACTTCGGAAGAGGAGACGACTGGAGAAATAAATACAGGATTGAATACTTTTAATTTTTTATTTCGTCTACTTTCTTAATAAATCGGTGACTCGAATCGCTACAAACTGTGTATGAGTTCCTTTTATAATTTACTTACGCACATACCATAATAATGATTTTTTTTTTTCTTAATCATTCTCGCTCATTCACACACACCCGCTTACCTTGATTATAAAAAACTTCTAGTTTCTCTTTAAAGTAATCGATCGAATTTTCCTTCCCCTCCATTCTCCCCGATGAAATGCGTTCTAACGTGAGATATCGTGAAATAGCCCGGTCGCTTATATTATTCGAATATCATCGAATATCGTTACGATCCTCCCCGTCGAAGAATCTCATTATACGCGACAATTTATATAACTAATTGGGATTTTGAAAATAAACGCGGCATTTGTGTATATATTTACTCTCGTGATTCTCGATAACAGACCTTCCCGTATTCGACCTTCGAAAATACTGTTTCTACCCTCGAAAGCCGATTTTTTACGATTGGCTTCCTATAAAAATTTTATATAAACAGTATCTTGGATTTGTTTTCTCTCGCGTTTCATTCGCGAAACAACGAGACTGCACGATTGCACCGGTTCGCCGGAAATATTTTTTTTAATGCGCATTCAACCGAAAATTCGCTTTCCTTTTGTTTCTTGAGAACAGATTGTCAAAGTAAACGGATATCCAACACTGTTCTTCTCTTTATTTCTGTGCTCATACCCCCTTATCACCTAAATAGTAGAATTCTCACTTGTTATCTCTTTCACTTTTTTTTTTTAAGTACACGTCTATGGTTTCACCCATACTAAATTCAAGATAGATCGAAGTAATAACAGCTGAATGAAAGATGGCACGGTGTTTCATCGCACGCGAAACGATTACCAGCTCGCTCGGAATGACTTTCGTGTACGAGCAATCTGTTCTGGCGTTTCTTTATCCTTTTTCATTTTGATGATACGCGATCGTCGTGCGATCTATGGACTTGTCTACGGAAATACATATGTACATATACACGAGACTTCGCGGTTCGATGCTGTCGGTTAAGCAGAAAAGAAAAGTGTTTTTAAGTACGATAGTTCTTTTGTCATAGACCAAATTGGGTCAATTTAACACGTTGCTAATTATATTGCACACGTAAAATGCAACAGACAGAGACACCGTGTATTCAACCTGTTCAACCAGGGAAGACGAATTTATTCGTCATTTTCGCTCGTCTGTACCTTGGAATATTTCTCCCTTTCTATATTTATTTATCGGAACAATCCCTGTGTGTTTAGTCGTATTACAATATTCGCTTTGTTCGGATTACTTCTATGCGATTTTTCTCGGTAATATTGTTTTATCAGCGTAGCTAATTTAGCAATAACAGTGTAAGCCTATACAAGTATCCCCGCATATACACCTGACGCGATATTCTCTCGACACTCTTCAGCACAATCGCATCGATTGATTCGCAGATCTATTACTTAATTACAATCTACGAACGAGTAGTTTATTATACAAAATGATATCATTTTTTTTTTAGAATTTTTCTGCTACGCCCAAGGTACAGGCGAACCGCCAGCCAAATTATTCGGATAAACAATTTGAAATTCCTGTACTCCAGGATTAAATACTTCGGGACCCATTGTACTATTGTGCTAAGGACTAAAACACGAAAAGACACGGTATTTCGCACCCTTGCGTTTCTCATTTTTATCTGTAATTTCTACGATGCATCGAGAGAAAGAGAGAGAGAGAGAGAGAGAGAGAGAGAGAGAGAGCGCTTTCATTCGACAAATTGCTCGTCTGGAAATGCCGATTCGTGACGATAGTCTTCTCCTCTCTCCGAATCGGATGCAAAGTGTATGTATACATGCATAATAGAACGGTATTAAAGTTTACGTATATCGTGACACTTGTATGTTTGCGTGTGCCGGTGAAGCGTTTAAAAATCCCCGACGACGACACGATACGTAACACCCGCCATTAAACCCCCCGCGAATCAATTATTGCGCCGTCGAACGTGCAATTACGACGCGACTGAAATCAATCGCGAACGCGATAATGGCTTCAAACGACGTGTTCGAGTAGATTTAATCGCGGTACAGGCCCTCCCTCTCTTCCCCCGCATCCCCTCGTTCGATTATCTTTCGTATGTACAGGTAAAACACAATCGTCCTTGCCGGCGATTCCCTTTCATCGCGAAATAAAGATAATTTCGGTACGTTAATGCCACACTAATTTTATATACAAAAATGATAAACAAGAGCATGTATATAATACCCTCGAGAACATTACTCGCTATTCGTAATTAATATACCGTTTAGTAAATTTTTAGATATGGTTGTTCGCGAATCGACAGCTGGCACACCTGGCTCCGGCTTGGAGCAATCCTGGACATGTTTCACAACTTCCTTTAAACGCATGGAGGGATTGCGATCACGAATTTAACGTATAAAATATCTTGGACGAAGATACTACTCGTCTACGCTCCTGTTAATTTTTTGTACGATATTAGGTCTACGCTAGGATTAAAATCAAATGAAATAAAGAAAGGATTCGGAAGATGTTCTTCCAATCAAAGTTCGACAAATATAACGTCGCGAGTGTACGAAATTTGCCGTAAAAATGTTTTTTAACGGAACGACGTGTGCTCGGCTATCGATCTGCATACGGTAGTCCCCTTTATTACAGTAAAAATATATTATCGCTACGGATAGTATTTAACTTTGACTAGCATGTGTTTATAGAACCGATTTCCAATCCTACGCAACCACGCGCTATAGAATCAACATACGCGATCTTGGAAACGGTAATCTCTTATCGATACAAAAGAGCCCCTCTTCCGCGAAATTGCAACGAAGAAGGTGCGTTTAATTTAGACCGGAGCCTCGACTGGAAAATCATCGTTGCGTTTAAATAGCACGAATCTGTTCAAGCCACGCGGCTCTATCATCTTCCTTAATGCATACAATATTTACTTGAGAAAGTATGGGGTACAATGTCGGCTTTACGTTAAAGAGTATATCCTTCCTTCGAGATAAGTACAATCTAACGACTCGCTAGGACTCTACGATCCACGCGAATGAAAACTCTAAAAGTCAATCGTTTCACGTTATTCGCCACGTCGTGCCATATTCTATACATTGTTCGCACAGTGAATACGATTCCTCTGTACGAAATTCGGACTGCTTGTACAGTGACTACTTGGTACACGCCAATACGTGTTGTCTACCAAGCGTAAAGATAAGATTCTTTTTTTCTTTCTCGCCATACCTACTAGATATCATAGAAGACACGGAGAGCACGTTCGACGCACGGAATGCAGAGTAGAAAATAAAATGGTAGATGATTCTCTCGCCCGTAGAAAAGAGGGTGATCGAAATTTACACCCCCTCGAGAGGAGCTGCGCGCGAGGAAAATTATACGATCTAGCTCTTTAGATATCCCCTACGACTTAATCACACAGCAACTATTTATTCTCTTGTTCAGTCTTGTGATAATACTACTTTAATACTTTTACAATTCGCACTGAGTTAACCATGTTGTACACGTCTCTATATCGTAATGCGTACGTAACTCGATCGGTTCCATTCGAAACGAGCAACGTAGTAGAAAAGGGTAAGCGCGGTCGTTGCTGCAACAATTCAATAATCAGACGAGAACATCGGGATCAAAAAACATCGGACGAAGTATTTGCACAGATAGCATCGCTTAACGATTATTTGACCGCTTAAAGTATCCGTTGCTTTTTCACAACGTATAAATTTCTTAAGTTTCTTTAGTGGAAAACTTTACGAAAATCGTAGATAATTCATTACGACGTTTGCATTAATATTAGAAAGCTCCATCGAAAAAATTGGCACGGACAAGATGCTTCTCCGAACCCGCTGGAACTTGTACCAACGATACTAGATTTATTTGTAAAATTGTTTATATATTTAGAAATGCAATCCCTATGAAACGAACAGAGTATCTTCCGCGGATATGTCTTCGTGTCATCGAACACGGCACAGATACTTTAGGCAGTCACGTTACGCGAATAATATCACTCCTGTAACGATTATTCCGTTCCGTTGCGGCACGACGAGAACAATTCCTTTCGGTCAAGGGACTCTACGCAACTGTATTGTCGTTACGAATAAACGATTCCCATCTAACATTACACCGTTAACGAACCTCTATACACGCAACAGCAAAACCGACTCATTACGTTGATCTTTTTGATTCTGAATACTGATTTGATTATTCCCGCTCCGCGGAGCATTACTATACATGAAACAGAATAATAATCTGCTTTAATATATCTCAAATGCAAGAACATTCGATATCGATTATCTTTCTCTTTACTCTTTTAATACCAGCATATAATTCCTAGCATTGCTATTTATTGCGTTTCAGTATCACTGCACATGCATCGGCGATGCACACCGACGCGCATCGCAGAACTCCGATTATCCTCGATACAAGATTATTCGCGGATATTATACGTTCGATTATACTGTGATCACGATGGACGCGAGCAGACAGAAGTTAAATAAATATTCGTAAAGAAGAATCGCGATAGTTGCAACTAGAGCGCTCCGATTCTTATCGGTATATTGTATATCTGAAAGAAAGTCTGAAGCCGTGCAGACATAAAAAACAGGCTTAACTAGATTCGATCGATCGATAGAACTATACTGAGTCGTTCGTTTCTTAGTCGCCTACGTTATAAATAGTTTATTATCAAAAAGATCCCATCCTGCACCGTCCAAGTAAAAATAAATATTATTTTTTCTTTTTGTTTGGTAAAAAATTCCATAAACATATACGTTATTCGCGCACGAAACGATACAGGCCTAACCCCTCGGTTATGAATAAAAAATATCTTTCAAGTACCATCTCTATACGATATACGGAAACCGGAAATCATATTGCAATCGCGTTAATAACTAATTCGTTGCGTGATCTATATAAATCTAATAGGAAATCATCGAAATTGAAGCACAATACGAGACTTGGAACGTACTATTAAAGGCCCGTTCTGTTAAAGACCCACTCCTGGACCTATAACCATAAAAATTCAATAAAAATAACTCGAACTTTACATCATTCGCGTATCCTTAGGACTTATTTAAAGACATTTTCTTTATAACCTATACATAGTGCCATCTTTGATTGCCCAGAGACTCTAGAATATCCACCATATAAATCTCGTTAAAAAGAAGACCATTTACGGCTATATTACGTTACACCTTAGCCTTTAGAAAATAACTAGTAAGTGTTGAAAACCCTGTGAATGCTCTGCAACTGATTACTTTCATTGCATTTTTTTTTTTCTTTTCTTTTCCTCCATCGTTTAGTTCTTTTTCTTCCCTTTGCTTTCTTGCCCGTTTTTTTTTTTTTTTGGTTGTATATTAAATACAAATACAGATGGATCGTGTATTAATCAGTATAAACACAGAGTCGTAAATTGCATTCTCGGTTTAACCCGCTGTACAAACCCTATGTAGAAGTATACTCATATAAAATAAAAAATATTCAAAAAACGATATACTCATATAAAGTATATGATGCATACACTTTTTTTGTTTTTATCCTAGGGCAGGATTCTTACTATACAAACTATTAGAGTTTCTTATTGAGCATATTTTAGAAATTGTTTGAGTCGTTGTAAGAAGTGTTCAATTATTGACTTCATTTCGACTATACGCTAGAACCTAGATACATTTCGAGAAACATCTTACTTTAAGGTTCTTTTGATTGTGCGGACTCATACGTGTAAGAAGACTTCGTCGTAATAGACGCGAGGAAATTAGAAAGACGACTGTTCTACATAGCTCTTTTACACTGGTTCCTGAACCTTGTACCGTTAAAGATGGTCTATTTCTTCCTCAATCTGACGGAATGATATCAACGTACACAAGCTCGATGCGATGCATACGCACTGCTTTGAAAACTACGTTTGGGTAACTGCTAGATACCCGCGTATAGTGTAAACAGTCATGACGCCCCGATATAATTTATAATTTCTATCGTGAATACTCTTACTGATTTTGTTTGGAATTCCTAGGAACTTGAAGTTTTCCGCTCTCTTCCCAAACAATGTTGCCGCGTTCAAGCTTCCTGTTCGAAACAAAACAAGATATATATATATATATATATATATATGTATATGAATGCACGCAATATATTATTGCAATGCTATAAAATGCGTAACACTTACATCAGGAAATAAAAAGTGCTCGCGAGTAGGTTGCGGTTGTTCAAAGGGAGAACTACTCATGTATCCAGGCGAGGGGGATTCGCTTTTCTCAAGCACCGGGGTAATGTTCGCGTAATTAGCGGATGGTGTCGTTAACGTTCTTCCTTGCTCAACAAGAATACTTCGATCGATTTTGTAATATTCTTTTCCGCTGCGTGGACGAAGCGTCGTTGCCACTGCTCTGCCGCTCAGTCTGAACAATTAAACGAAACGTTCGTTACTTTCCATAATCCTGTATCCTGTACATTTAGCATGTCCGAATCGCGAAGCATTTTACCTGAGACTGTCCGGTGTATCGGACGACGAGTGGGACGACAACGACAACGTCTCGATGTAATCGGACATGTCGGATGTACCGCTACTGGTGCTTCGCGAGTCGATGTAAGGCGCGCTGGACACTTCTCCGGGGCTGTTGAAACCTTTCGCGCCTTTTGGCAAACACGTGGGTATGTCGGCCTCTGCCGACGAGGACTTGGTGGGTATCTTGATCTTTTGAAACTGAAAGGACAATTCTCGTAGCGGGTCGCTGGATTTCGATTTTCTTGGTAGGCTGCTGTGGTAACAGGTGGGCGGTGGACTCTTCCGGTAAACAGACAACACGTTCTGCTTCCTCGTCGAGGTCGATGGCACTATGGACAGTTCGAACTCAACGAACTCGGCCGTTCTGTGACTGAGAGACCCGGTAGAAACACCGGAGTCGTTGCTGCTCGAGGAGTCTCTATTGTGACCGGTTTTCGACGGCACGGAAGAAGACCGTCGGATCTTTATAAACGACGGCTGGGACGAGGCTATCGATATCTGGCCGTTCTCTTGACCGATCTTCGTCTCGGAATTAACGCACGAGGCGTGCGTGTCTCCCGTGACCAGAGAAGCTTTATCCGCTTCGCTCGAACATTTATGAATGGTGAGAGTCGACGGGAACGTGTGGTTCTCGTCGTCCAGGTAATGAGCAGACTCCGCCGAGTACGATCGTTTTCGCAACAGTAAACCGATATTCCCGCTGGGCTCTGTACTGTTCCCGTCGAAGTAACGACGTCTAAGATACGGGCTGGACAACATTGCCGAACCAGGAACACGAAACTCGGAATCGGATCGCTTTTTCCCGGCGTCGGTAGACGCTGACCCCGATAACGCGGGATTGCTCGAGCTTTTTATACCGCTGCAGATCCTCGACAGTATCTCCTTCGAGCACGCGTTGTGCGCCGGTTGCATCGGCAGGTAACCAGGGAACGGTTTCTTTGGCGTTTGTTTCTCAGGGTTCATCACTAAATAATCGTTCTCTCTGTCCTTAACGTGGCCGCACTTTTGACATATCTTCGACGAATCTTCGGTGTACGATTCGGCCGTTTCCTCTTTTATCTGATCCGCGAACTTCTCTATCTCCTCTTGCGATATACCGCTCTTCGCCAGGAGATCCTTACTGTTCTCGTAATGCTCCAAAGACTGCGTGAAGTCGATGTTGGCGTAATTTGCTTGTCTGGACTCTGGTTGTGTGTCGATAACCGGCTCGACGTTCTCGTAATTGTTGGACGTGTTCTCTTGGAGGCAATCGCAGCCGTCCTTGGCAGTGTCTTCGACGATCTCCAACTTCTTGAACCTCTTCGCCGTCGCGTAAATTGCGATTTCCCCGCTGGCGTTCACCACCGGCATCTTTCCCTCCCCGGAAAGCTTCACAGGATGCACGGTCACCCCGGTCGGCTCTATTCCCGCTCCCCGTCTACAGTACGGCAATACGAAACCGGCCCAACTCATCATGTTCTGACAAGGACATCCGGAAGATCGGGGCGACTGAATGGTGAGCTTGGCCGGGCAACCACACTGTTGCAGCACCACAGCCTGCGGAGTTTGCGGCGTATCGTAATTGGGATAAATTTTTGGCAGTGCCAGGCATTCTTTGATTTTCCTTGGCGTATCGTAATACTGATCCGGTTGGGGAGCCTGCTCCAACACCATGTGATGACCCAAGATCGTCTTAGGCACATCGTAATTCTCGTATGGACCAGCAGCAGCCGGAGTAGCCGGAGTAGCGGCGGCGGTAACTGCGGACGCGTTGCGAACGACTAGCTGCTGTTTGCGAGAGTGTACGCAAGATTGCTCGTTTGGCAGTGGCATGGGTGGCTTTTTCACCTTTTTCGTGGCAGTGTTTTGGGACGGTTTTGGAGGTCTCGGTGGCAGTGCACCGGGACTCGGCGACGCGCGTTGTACGGTCACCTGCTGCGACTTCATTTGCGAACAATGACACTCGATCTGTTGCTGGGAACCGGAATAATCGCTATCGTGGCTGCTACTGCTGTACGAGGACAACGATAATCGGTCCAGCGTACGAGGCTGCAAATGGCCGACGAGATTGTTCATCGTGCCGGCGGGACTGCTTATGCTACCGGTACCGGTCGTCGTGGCTAGAGTCGAGGATTTCGACACGGTTCCGAGTTTGCTGATACAGCTGGCGCATCGTTCCAATGCAGACGTGCCTTGACGAGTCAAGGAACAGCTGCGCCAATCTCCTGGTTGGTCCGGTAGCTCCGAGACAGAGATAGTGTCTCTGCTGCTGTAATCCCTGTCGAGTTCCGTTTGCTGTCTACTCTCGGCGGACGACCAGTAAGGCGAGCTCTCGTTCTTGCAGCTGTCGCACTGATCCTCGTACGTCGACGAGTATATGGTCGAGGGGAAGAAGTCGCTTGCTCTAGTTTCGGATCGGGAGAACTGACGACGCGGACTGTCTTGAGCCATTTGCTCTCTGCTGATCGGCCGCTTTTTCGTCAGCTTTCCCTCCGCTGCTAGCTGCAACATCTTCACGATATCCTCACCTTGATCAGTGATCAGTACGTGAAGACCTTCCCCTCGACCACATCTCGAGCCACCCTCGAAACAGAATCTGCCCTCTACCACCCCATAACGACGAAGATGCGCGATCTCCCAAATGCCTACCAATCTCGGTGGTATGCCAATGGTGATGCAGAACCGACGATCCTGGATATGCAAATGCGCTGGCCCGCTTGGAATCTTCGCTTTCGATGGCACCGTGGAGATCAGTATCAGGAACTGTTGATCTACGCGAAAAGCGTAACATTAAGACAGCCATTTTTTTTTTTTTAATAGAGAATTTTCATTCTAAGAAACCGGACGTACCTTCGCCTAGATTGTTCGAAATCTTCACTTGCCATTGGATCAACCGTTCTCTAGTGTCAAAGGCGAGAACAACTGTCACGTCCTGACATATTATAGCGATCGTGTTGGACTCCTTGTCTAGAGTAAAACCGCTCTCCACGCCAAGAAAATGTTGCAAACTTAACGAAGCTTTTGTTTGGCCTTGTTTGTACCGATCCTTGCTATCCCCGTAAAGTTGCAAATGAAGACAATCTAGAAATTGCGATAGAAAATATATGGGATTTACAAACAAGGCTTAACAACCGCCGATATCATAATAATAATAATAATAATAATTTATGAAAAACCAACACATCGTACATGCGTTACTTTGATAATTTAATTGCACTCGTGGATAATAGTAGTCGGAGTTTTGTTAATTCGTAAATGAAACTGACGAAATATTTACACAAATTGCAAATTGTTTATTTATCTTTTATCGGGCGTAACGAAAATGCTTCAAAGGATGTCACTGATACAGTCATTTGGATTTAGAAAACGAACTAAATCCATTTAGTCCCTTCTATGTACACTTAACTAATTCTCCCTAAAGAAAATTTATGAGGTACGAGTGTCCCCAAGTTCTAAAATATCCTCAAGTTACAAGGACCAAGTATTAATGGTTATTGCCAGAGGCAAAGCTCTTCTTGGAAATTTTTTGTTTCTTCAGGCAGTCAATCTGTAACAGATGTGCCAGCTGCCGCCCTAAGAAGGGCCATAGGGGAGGGATTTTTCATGCTGATAACAAGTAGGGAAATTCTTTTGGTAGATAGGATTAGTAATGAGGTAGAAAATAGAATTCCTGGCAAGCAGTATTTTAAAGAAAAATTGCAACATCTGTTGTCATATTTTAATAATAAATGCATTTTATGAAAAGCATTTCCATTTAACATTTATTTTCAAATGTGTGCACTGTACAAAATGATTCAACTTACACATTGTACAAACAGCAGAATACTTCTGTATCTTTGAAATTGTACCAGAGACAAATACATATCAAACTACAAGGGAAATCTGCAATACTTTGTGTCTACTATCATGGTCTGAAATTCATTCGAGAATATGAAAAATGTATTTACCTGCAACTGGTGATAATTTCCTCATAACACACCATCTGGATTTCCACTGTAAAGTAAATAAATAAATTTAACAGAATAATTGCCAAATTATATTCGGCAAAAATGGTCATGATTGTATATCAACTTTCCTATTGTAATATTATGTTAATTTACTTAGAAAGCCCTATGGTGGAAAACACTATAGATATGTATTACACATTTGTTTGCATATACACAGACCCTCTACACTCTTGTGTAATGAAAATAAAAGAGTTTCTTCCCCTTCTCAATTTGAATGACTTCTTTACCAACCCCAATGTAAATAAAAGAAACTGACCTAGCTTTTTATAGCTCTATGGCTCCTTGTTTCTGTTGCATTAAATACTTTCTTGAGCTTTTAACATACTACCCGATTGTTGAGATGCATATTGAAATCATATCAAGGCATTTCAATTTCATTCCTTGTCCATAACAAATTAAAATTGGACATTGTATTCCAGTCTGAATGAATTCAAGAAAGCTAATACATAACATTGAAACAACATTATTGAAACACTTGTATCGTATCGAACAATATTAAAACAAATGTGAATGAGAAACATATTTATAGATATTAACAATCATCTTTTGTACACCGAAGAGGATCTAAATTACAGGTTGAAATGTCTATATTAAATAAATTGGTTTTGTCCAAACTATATGTTATATTTGTTTTAAATATGACAAGCAAAAAAGGTACACATAGAATATACTTACACATTAAAATTTGCAGTAAACACACAAAGACAAACTAGAAACACTAAATTCAAATTTTTATACCTTTTTGTGAATCAATTAGGCGCTTATATATATGTGCCCTATATTTAATTAATGTCTATTAAACGTTCACGTTAGACTAAATCTCTCGAGCCATTATATAATATTCTTCGAATTGAAACAATACCGTATTCAAGTGTCCCCGTAATAACTTTTGTGCAAACACCAATTATAGTTGGGTTACGATTTAACGAAGAACGATATTTTTTTTAAAGTATTACGATCCAACATAGCGAGAACCAATTTAAGCGTTACATAAATTGGTGAGAAAAATCGGACGGCATTATTGTGACGGGCAACGATCAAGCAATTATCTGATTTATGTTAATTGGTCCGTTTGATTGTGCACGGAGAAAAGGTGAACAGTAGTTAACAGAAAATTCTGTCGTGGGTACTCACTTTTTTGCCGTCACGAAACTTGACATTTCCCTCGATAATACAATTGTTATCCACCATTGTAGAAAGCCGCTGCTACTGTACTGGTTCTGGATGTTTTTCTCATCACTATGTAAAAGCACTCCGTTTACTCAACGCTGCGTACCGGGAGACACCATAGCAGAATAACGTTAGAACACCGAGAACACAGACATTTTCCGGTACACGATCTTTTCTCTCGTCGAACAACAACAGTGGTTTCGCATTTCACGAATCACGCGGCAAAATCCATACTTCGTACCATCGGCAACGAGCATCCATCTTGACAATCTTCGCTTGCTGCGTGCACTACTGCGGTCCTGCTCCCTTTTGAGAGCGTATTCTGCACAATATCCATTCCCCTGCACTTTGCTCCAGTGGCGTAGCACCTACCTACGTTCTTTTACACCCACAAACTTTCCCCCGCAAGCGCCTATGAACTCAATGGTACCGTTTACAACGGTCATCGCACGCTGTTTTTCGCGCCGTCTTTTCAACAATAATATTATACTCAAATTGTTCTGCTACTACTATTGCGTGAATCGACGGCGACACTAGTAACGACGAGCTTCCTTAGGGTCTAAAAGAGACATGATCTACCGTACGACTACAAACCATGTTACGCTCGAGTCATGGTACGAGCCTCAGAGGTGCCAGAAAAGCCCTACTCACACATGCCAGATCACGCGTACGTGAGTTCGTGGAGTTACGGAGAGTCGACAAAGGCAAACTGACGCATGCCCTCTTTCTCGAATCTCCGAAGCTGCCCGAAGTAATTTCGGACCGCCTCGTGGGAGTCGAGAGAGGAAGGTTCACATTTGCCTTCGCGCTCTTGAACAACTGACATTCGACCTCACGTCGACGGCATACGATTCCAAGTCTCGAATGCGCAGGCATTTTTTACTTTCCGACCTATGCAGGCTTTCCCAGCCTCTTGTTGGCCTCTCCTGACCTCCGCTTATATTTCTGACAACGTATAACAATTACGACTGACTTTCTGCCAACCTCCGTTGGCCTCTGCTCACCGCTGCTGACCATTCCTCATACTTCTGACAACGTATAACGATTAGAACTTGCTATTGCTTGGCCCTGCTGGTCTCTACATGCATCTACATGCCTCTGCTGGCATATGCTGGCCTCTGCTGGGCTCTGCTGACCACTGCTGACCATCCCTGATGCTTCCGACAACGTATAACGATTACTACGTGTTACTGCTTACTCCTGCTGGTCTCTACATGCCTCTACATGCCTCTGCTGGCATATGCTGGCCTCTGCCTGCCTCCCCTCGCCTCTGCTGACCGCTGCTGACCACTCCTAATACTTCCGACAACGTATAACGATTACAACTTGCTATTGCTTGCTCCTGCTGGTCTCTACATGCCTCTACATGCCTCTGCTGGCATATGCTGGCCTCTGCCTGCCTCCCCTCGCCTCTGCTGACCGCTGCTGACCACTCCTAATACTTCCGACAACGTATAACGATTACAACTTGCTATTGCTTGCTCCTGCTGGTCTCTACATGCCTCTACATGCCTCTGCTGGCATATGCTGGCCTCTGCTGGCCTCTGCTGGCCTCTGCCTGCCTCCCCTCGCCTCTGCTGACCGCTGCTGACCACTCCTGATACTTCCGACAACGTATAACGATTACTACGTGTTCCTGCTTACTCCTGCTGGCCTCTGCTGGTCTCTGTTGGCCACTGCTGACCACTGCTGACCCCTACTGACCCCTACTGACCACTGCTGACCTTTGTTATCAACTTCTGACACGATCTATAAGTATTCAAGCCTTGTATAATGTAAGTCTATGGCAATAAATGATATAATTTAACAGAATTCTATGTGTTCTCATCATTTTTACCTTTCCTTTCCTCTCCAAATCATTGCCTTAGTATTAAGAGACCGTTTTTCCGGTTAAAATTGGATTCCCAAAGTGTACAGCTCTCGTACTTGCTTCCAAAATCAAAAATTAACTTTAAAATTTTTTTTCTGTAACCGTCACTCTCGTACCTGTTGGCAAAATCGAGAATTCATTTTTTTCGTCGAAAAATTTTTGCTCGAAAATTTCGCCGATTTCCCAAAAATGTCCTGAAACAACTGGAAAGTTCTGAAACAGCTGGAAAGTCCTGAAACAACTTTGGAAAGTCCTGAAACAACTTTGGAAAGTCCTGAAACAGCTGGAAAGTCCTGAAACAACTTTGTAAAGTCCTGGAACAGCTGGAAAGTCCTGAAACAACTTTTCGAAAGTCCTGAAACAACTTTGAAAAGCCCTGAAACAGCTGGAACCCCTGAAACAACTTTTGGAAAGTCCTGAAACAACTTTGGAATGCCCTGAAACAGCTGGAAACCCTGGAACAACTTTGGAAAGCCCTGAAACAGCTGGAAACCCTGAAACAACTTTGGAAAGTCCTGAAACAGCTGGAAAGTCCTGAAACAGCTGGGAAGTCCTGGAAATTCTTGGAAACGCCGAAAATTCTTGGAAACCCTGAATTTTTAGCAAAGTTCTGAGTTTGAGGACTTCCTAGTGGGTTCAGGGAAACCAAGGAGTTTCAGGGAGTCTTATAACTAAGGTAATGATTTGGAGAGGAAAAGAAAGGTAAGAAATGATGAGAAGACATAGAATTCTTTGTAATTATATCATTTATTGCTATAGATTTACATTATACAATGTTTTAATACATATATATCATGGCAGAAGTTGTTAACAAGGGTCAGTAGTGGTCAGTAGGGGTCAGTAGGGGTCAGCAGGGGTCAGCAGGGGTCAGCAGGGGACAGCAGAGGCTTGCAGAGGCAAGGAGAGACCAGCAGGGGCAAGCAGTAACATGTAGTAATCGTCACACGTTGTCGGAAGCATCGGTGGTGGTCAGCAGTGGTCAGCAGAGGCCAGCAGTGGCAAAGAGTGGCAAGCAGAGACCAGCAGGGACAAGCAGTGGCAAGTTGTAATCGTTATACGTCGTCAGAAATATAAGCGGAGGTCAGCAGTGGTCAGCAGTGGTCAGCAGTGGTCAGCAGGGGATAGCAGAGGCTTGCAGAGGCAAGGAGAGACCAGCAGGGGCAAGCAGTAACATGTAGTAATCGTCATACGTTGTCGGAAGCATCGGTGGTGGTCAGCAGTGGTCAGCAGAGGCCAGCAGTGGCAAGGAGTGGCAAGCAGAGACCAGCAGGGACAAGCAGTGGCAAGTTGTAATCGTTATACGTCGTCAGAAATATAAGCGGAAGTCTGGAGAGGCCAACAGAGGCTGGGAGTGGTTGGCAGTAACCAGTAGTAATCGTTATACGTTGTCGGAAGTATCAGGTGTAGTCAGCAGTGGTCAGCAGAGGCCAGCGGAGGACTGTAGGAAAATTCAAAAGTACATTTAGTCGTACCTTATAAATGTGAGCCCTCCTCTCTCGACTCCCACGAGACGGTCCGAAATTACTTCGTGCAGCTTCGGAGAATCGAGAAAGAGAGCATGTGTCGGTTTGTCTTTGTCGACTTTCCGAAACTCTACGAAGTCACGTACCCGTGGTCTGGCATAGTGTGAGTAATGCACCGGGTGCTCAATCTGATATCACTGATCCTAACTCAAACCTAGCCTAACCCAGATCTTAAAGTTTAAGATTTTCATAACTACGCCGACTTAAACTTGGGTTTTATATTCGGTTATTCACCGTGTGTTTAGAAACAAATTTAACCTGCATTAGTGCTTGAGGTTTGAATTGGTTTATCATGAGTACGCCAATATTAACAAAACAACAGCAGAAACACAGTCTGTCGGCAAAGAAATCATCGGCTAAAGGATTACGAAATGTCTTGGCCCAACCTCAAGATAGTTATTGGTACAGTGTAAATTTGTTATGTTTTCTATAATATTGCCGTGTTTATGTTATTTAAAACATATTTGTATTTGTTAGGCCAATTGTAAATGTAGATATGTGTCCAATATTAGAAAATCTTTTAAAAAAGTAAGTTATAAGGATGCATAATAAATCTTTTTCAATAAATATCAGTAGGCAATGTTTTATAATTGATACTTGTAGTTTAACAACAGCAATAAAACGTACATACCATTCAGTCCCATGGTCAAAACTCAGACATATGAATAAAGTAGAACGTGCAAAAGCTAAAAAGGAAGCACTTTTGAAAGAAGGAAGTGTGCTTAATACAGAGATAATGTAAATATCTATGATTAAACCGATTCATAGTTTTTAAAGTTACAAACATCTTTAATGGTTACATTTTTAGAAATTCTGTTGTCTTGGGTTTAAATGCAATTACAAGGTCTCTAGAAAAGAATAATATTTGTTGTGTTTTAATGGATGCCAATATCGAGCCACCACTTTTATCAAGGCATATCATTGTTATGGCACAAAATAAAAAAATACCAATATTATTATTATCCAACTTAAAGTCTATTACATTAAGTATTATTGGATTTGCATCTGCTGCATATGCCCTTAAGGTACAATTTCATTATTGCCTAAATAACACTGTGTAAAAAATGGCTTTGTTATTGTATCTATGATTTCAGAATATTGTAATGGAATCTCCTGATCATCATTTTCATCCATTGTATACAAAAATATGTGATATTTCTAAAAGTATTCCTCTGCCAAAAAATTCACTTGAATTATTTAAGGATGATGAAACATCAGAAGAAGCTACATTATGTGAAACAAATAAAATGAGTATTCAAACTGAGTCACAGTCCATGCCTACAGAGACAATTAAATTTACATTGTCAACAAATGTATATAAATATAGATGTTCGCGGAAGGAAAGAGCATTTGTTCCGCCAGATACAACAATAAAAAACCATGAAATTCTATCCGATACACAAAAACTGGAGCAGAATGAATTTATCTCCATAAGTAATTATAAATGCGACGAATTTGATGGAAACATCAGGAAAAATACAAGATATATAAATATTCATGAAAATGAATATAGAAGGAAAAGAGATTATTCAGAGGTAAACAAGAAATTAAAAAATGTCACATATTTACCACTAAAAGTGAAACGTTTGCAAGGTAACGGTAACCGCGTGAAAGCTACTAAAGCGGCAAAACAGAAGAAAAAATAATTGGGAAATCATTGTTAATATACATACATCTCACAAGAATGAGATAATCATTTAGTTTTAATTACAATAAATATGAAATATGTAAATACAATTGTACAAATTCTTTATACATATAAATACATTATATACAAAAATTGTACCTATTATTTACCTAAACTTTAGTATTTTTTATAATGGAAATTTATTGTGTATATTACAGTCAGATTAGTTACTAGAAAAATCAGTCTTTTGTACATAATACCATATTACTGAATCCATATAAGAATTGTATCTGCAGATAGATTGTTTGTATATGGAAATTTTTGTAATTGCCAAAAGTAAAGATACAATATTCATTTTGTATACATGTATTTGATGCCTATGCAGCTACATCATACAGGTAACGTAGAATTTACAGAGGATTTGAACATCCTTGTAAAAAACATCAGACCCTTTGTTCCTCCGGGTATATGACTTGCTAAGAAGGATAACATAGCTATTAACTGTAAAACAGCACACAGTACTGTCAATGGTGTAGACTGTAAATGGAGGGCAAAATAGAGTGTTCCTAGTAGAGTTGCAAAATAGGATACACTGAAACACCTTCTTTCAGCAGAGAACAATGATTTCAGGTAACTTAATGGACCCAAAAGGAAGCAAAAGCTATAAAAATACGTTAAACGTAAATGCCGTTTAACGAACGTTAAACGATCGCTTTCGTGTTTCTACACTTACCTCGCTAAGAAGAGAGCACTTCCTAAAGTGTACAAAAGCGCAAATTTTCTCGCTTTCAGTAACAAAACTGGAATATAAATTGCCGAGAGACAAAAACAGAGCATACCCATAGAAAAACATACAATAAATGCTATTAACCTTTGTAGTCGTGTCTGAAAGGCAAAGAATTCAATGAAACTTTTATTCTTTAACGTTATCGTCGTTCGAGAGCATTTGACGTTTCAGGTTATGTTCAGAAAATACGTACCATGCTAGGACAACATTCTTTTTGTGCCCCTTGTATCCATCCTGTTTCTTCTTCATCTTCGTCACCGGTTTTTCCAAACCATTTTCCAATATTTGCTTTTGGTATTGTTACCGAGGGTACGGTCAGCTTAAATTGTTTCTCATTTTTGCTACTAAGAAGATATTCGTTTAGTTCTTTATTAAGGTCGGCCATTTTGACACGACGCCATTTTATATGTTGATCGTTGACGCATCCGCGATGAGCAACGATAATTATTTAAACGTATCTTGTTTCGAACACGGTAAATTTTATTTAACATTTCATAGAACGTAATAAATATGATCGTTCTATTGTTGCAACAGAAAGTAATTGCATCGATTTGATTGAAAAACTTTTATAGGATCGCCAACAAGGTAAGTATGTACCTACCTACCTAAGTACCTATGTATTGGACTTTGATATTGCATCATCGTATTCTCTCGAACCAAAGGTGTGACTAAATGATTACGTCGTTGTCGTGGATTTTCAAACTTACATTTATTTTAACAAATCAACATTGACCTCATATTTACGGGTTGTATACTGCATTTTGTTGCACAGGTAATGCATCACTCTATTATGCAAGATCTATGTGTCCTGCAACGCATGTCATTGTCTTGGGATTATTTGACAAAAATCAAATAGATCGGGGACAGGGGAGACTGAGTATCGACAGTACTCTAATTGGGACTAGAGAAATTTGACTAGAAAAAATCGGCGGTTGATCTTTCTCGTGTAATAATAATAATACTAAATATAATAGTATTTAGTAGGAATGATTGGAATAATTCTCGAAGTGATGGTAATAGTTCTCGGAATCATAATAAACATGACATTAGTGATGACAATAATAATAATAATAATAATAAGTAATAATAATACTAATAATAAATAGCAATAATAAGAAGCACAACGTAACAATAATGAGGGACATATATGTATAACAAATCGATCACATTCGAATACAGTACACACTACGAATCGTCGTGAACAGGTTCATACCGCCACTCGGTTTGTTTTTGTTCATTTGAAGATTTTAGCGTTATATGTATACGTACTGATCACGGTCACTCGATCTCTCGATTACACGATACATGGAACGAGACTGCTAATTATTCAACACGAAGGCTCCTAAAACCATTCTTGTACCGCGAAACGAATTTCCTCGGGATTAAATTACTTATCAACTACATCGTCAGGTATGTGTGAATGTATTGTATCGTATTGGGAACGCGAGCGCGCGTGTATACATGCGTTTGTATGCGTATGTAACCCAGGTGGTTTTTCATTAACTATATACTTTGGCTTCGTCTGTTTTCTTAAATTTCTCATTCTCTTCGGTTTTATTCTAATGGCAGCACAGACACAATGTATTTTTTCTTATTTTTCGTTTTTACACCGTATAGCATTTTAACGTGCCCGTGTGTTTCTTCTTATAGAAATAACGCGTTACGAATCACTTTTTAATCTCTCGTTTAACGCGCGTTTAGAGGCTCCCTAGCGCGCGTGAACCGGATGATAATTACACAATTAATACGTTATGCTATGTATACTACTTTATACAGTACGCAATGTAACGCCAGAATTAATTATTGTACGCACTACGAAGGAAAGAACCTATGTGTATGTATATGTGTATGTATTCGTGTGTACGCTCGAGAAGAAACGAATCGCTAGCGTTAATACAGTACGATTTTAATACAAGTACTGTGTCTTCGATCTCTTTACCTTTTCTCTTTCTGTTCTCTTTGGTTAAGGTTTTATTTGCCGTACGATCATCGGGCGTCGAAACAACGAACGTTCGTAAATCTTTCTCTGTTTCTTCTCAGTTGAAAAAAAGTAAGATGTCTCGAACGTCCGTCGTTTCGACGCTCGTCCGACATTGGCCTAAAGTAGTACTGTTCACAATTAGCAGTGGCACTTGATCCACTTTGGTTTCCAGTTATTACATCTCTATGTACATGCAAGTTAAGTATATTCGGAACAAAATCAACTGGCCACTCAGAGTTACCGAAAGACACTGTTTCCGCCGGATCGTCCGGTTATTCCCACCGCCTCTAGTTTCCCCATACGATTCACAGTGAGAAAATCGGCTTTGATCGGCTAGTTCATTTTTTTCGGACTATAGTCGATACCACATTACGTGCACGTGTCCCACGCAAAGACAATACAGCGTACAATGGGCACGAATGCCTCGTAAGGGTTCCAACCGTGAACAGCACACTGATTCAAGTGCAACGTTGCACCGGATCGAAAATGCGTCTTTTTTTTAAACGCGTACGATTCGTTGATGCGACGCGGGACACGCACGCCTCTGATCTCGAGAAACTTTCGTTCAAGAGAGGATCTGCTTTGCTTTACAAGTATCGTGTGCAGCTATAGCGTTCGAAATATATGTAGAAATAATAAATGCAACGACAGCCTTTTCTCGGCAAATACTCACGAATGTATCCGTAAGTAAAACGACTAATACTAATATTACCGTCCTTAAATAGCAAGACGAGAGTATAAAGTAATTCGTACGAAACAAGAGAGTAGTCTCAACGCCTAGAATGATCTCCGTTCAAAGTGTTTGGGGAGCGAGTTCGATGCATGCGTTAAACACGTGTGTCTGCGCGCGCGTTTGTGTATGTGTATGTATGTATCTATGATGAGTGTGCAAAGTAAGTAGAAAGTTTTGGAGCCTTCGGGGGAAGTAAATCGGGTACCTTCGAAGCGCTATATTATTCGTTATAGCGATTTATGCTAGAATTAATCCTAAAAGTCCAACGAAGAAGAAGATCGTGCGCCTCGCTCCGTTCTCGAGATCAAACGCAGCCTCCGTAGCTGCGACGAAATAAAGATAGATTGTTTGTCTCGAGATAAATTAGCAACTAATTTTGAATAGATGGAAATTGATGGAATGCAATTAATGGCGCAACAATTCTGCAAGCTGCCCCTTTCTACTCCCACCCCCATTAATGGGAGAGCCTTTTGTACGCTATGCAACGATAAAATCAGACGCGCGTTACGTTGGATATTTTTATCCGCCTTCCCTATGGTTTCTTCGTTTTCACTTTAAAACACACGCACCTTGTAGAAAACATTAGCGAGTTCGAGATCACGCCGGAAATAAAAGGAAGCTTTCTTTTCTCTCGTCGTTGATATTGTCACCTTTGTCGATTATTCGTTCCAATTCTATCATTATTTCGCTCACTCGGTTTCTTTCTCTCCCACGGTTCCTTACTTTACGGTTTTTCTTTGGAAAATAATTTCTATCTGTGTGAATGTTCACTTTCTTATGTTTTTATATCATTTTTTTTTTCTTCGTCTCTGTCAACGAGAGACCGGCCGAGCCGCGCGAATATGAAACGGAAAATCGGTATTCGGTATTTTCTTTCGTACGGTGAATTCGATCGAGAGTTCATCGAGTAGCTTTTCTTTTCGTGACGTGGGAATTTGCGAGGGGTATTTTGACACGAGACAACGACGAAGAATAAAAACCGGATCCAGAGTAAACGAGCGGAAGTCTCGAGTCTCTTATACCACCTTGAGAAAATCGTACGTCCTTCCCTCGTTGTTTTTAACAATTTTTGGCAAATTCGAGATTACGAGATCGCGCCTCGAGATGTTCTCGCCTCGTAACTTGGAATTACAGCTATCGTACCGTTAAATGTGAAAAATATGTACAAAATTCTGCAGCGTCGATGCTCGAAGTAGGTACATACATACATATATCGCGTTAGCAACGATGCTATACTATCGTCGTTTATGTTCTCTCCAGTTTCGCACGTATTACATACTTTCTCCTTCTTCGTAAAAGTAACATATGTACGCGGTGCACGTTTCGGGAAGATGACGGTGTATGTGTGACGTGAGCTTGTACGTGTATACATGTACATATGTAGATCGTGATAGGTTCCAAGTAGTAATTAGTTGGTATTGCACGGATCGAACATGATCGGGATGCGTTCGATTAATCGAAATACAAAAGAGGCTTTTAAATCGTGGCTTTCTCCGCTCGAAGAAACGTCCGAATTCCCCCGACAATAATATCAAAAATCTAAAACGATCGAGTATCGCGACTGAAAGCCGGCAAGAGATCGACAGGGACACGTGTACAGAGAGCGTGCGTGTACACGCATGTACATATGTATACAGTACTCGAAAATCCGACGAGTCCTTAAAATGATCGTCCGCTGGGAAACTTGGCAAAGAATCGCGTGCTAGCAAATAAATCGGACACAGGCAGACACGGTAAACCGAAAACTCGCTAACTAAAACTGTTAATCGGTACGTACATGGAGCCGTAGATCAACGTAAATAACTCGCGTTGTTTCGCTTAACCTTAGTACCCCATCCTTAATTGGCTATTCGATCAGCTATACCGTAATCTTAATTAATATTGCACGCACCGGCACACGAGGGCTGCTAAATGGTCATTTACCTAAGTCGCCAGATAACGGCCCTTTTACTCACGGAACAACTTAATTTATGCGTATGCACGAGACTCGCGAACGATCCCGAGGGAATCTATTCCTTACGCGAATCGCTTTCGCGACAATCGTCCCGATGAAACGGAAAGGAATCGTAACAAAGGTTACCGAGCCCCGACGATTCATCGAACGAACTTTGGTTCCTCTTGCCCATGGAACGGGACACGACCAACTTATTCTTTTAGAATTTTCTTCACAATGTACTTTAATCGTATCATTCGTTCTCTCTCGCTAGCCATTTCGGTTTATCTTTCGTTCGATTCACTCGTTCTCTAATCAGCAACATGCAAACTGTACAGTTCCTCTTATTTTCCTCGGTATTTTTCTTATGTTTTTTTTTCTTTTTTTGTTAATATCAGCTACGCTTAAGAACTAAGCTCGTATTATTATCATTAAGTTGATGTATCTTTAAGTCGAATATTACATTTTCTGAACGTTATCGGCTATCTTTAATATAAACACGCTACGCGAACTGTGCCACGTCGTCGTTGCGAGGCTGGACGACGCTATGTTGAGCTGTACTCTCTTCGATACTCTCGGTGTTGCCGAAAAAGTTGAGTTTTGAGCCGACTAACTGTTCTTTCTGCAGAGCGAGCAACGCGCACATTTTTATCATCGACTCGGTGCAATACCCGCGTTTCGACTATCGCGCGTCCCCTCGACATCTTCCTCTCTTTTCGAAACGAATCGTTGACTCTTGAAAACCTAACGTCTGCTCTTCCCGTGTGTTTTTTAATTTCAATTTTTTAGGGGAAACGAAGCGCGTTCATGTTTCTTCGTTTCGTTCATCGTGTTTCGTAGATCAGACCGAGTCAGTCACGATACTCGAGATCGCGACGGAAACTCGCACCGTCGATTATCCATCACCTTGGTTCGCTCTTATGAATCACGGTCTCTCTGCGATTCGTAGCGTCTCTGTCTTCAGCGCGTACACGATATACGTAGAAATTGCGAATTGGCTCAGAGACGAAAATAATTCTCCCCGTTCTACGCCGGTACAAAATATCTAAGCGAGCTAACTATGATCACCCCTTCGCGACGAAGGGAATAAACTAATTATAAAATACCTTCGCTCGATTTTGAGTACCGTCAATAATTCAGCCCCCGCTAAACCGTGGTGACGTACTCCCTTAACTCGGTTGCCTCGGACGACAAGCTATCGTTAGCGAACCAAGGGTCTTCGTATTTCGGCGCCTCCTCGCTGCGGGCTCTGTTCGGCGCGCGCGGCCGTTCACGAGTACGCATACGCGGCACCTCTTCGCTCAACGATCTCTTGGTGATCCCCATCGTGACGGGGACCTCCAACAGAGCCTTCGATCTGATCAACTGCGGCCTCTGGCGAGTCTTGGGCTCCTCGCTCGCGGCTCGAACGATCACCGTAGGCGGCGCGAGTCTGTCGTCGTTCTGATGCCCGCTCTCCGATCTAGCCCTGAAGACCTTCTTCTTCGACAAACCGCGAACTTTCGCGATGCTCTTTCTATGAACCGGCTGCGGCGCGGCAGGCTGCGGCGAGTACTGCTGCTGGTGCTGTTGGGACCTTTGCCTCTTGACGGGAGAAGCTGGAACGAGAGGCGACCAAATGGGCGGGGACAGGTCCGCCGGAGACTGGACCCTGGGCGGCGTTCGCTCCGGCGACTCGTCCTTCCAACCGCCCTGGTAAATCGGGAACGCGGAAACCTGGTTCAGAATTCTCCAGCGAAAGTCTTCGTCGTCGCTTCTGCAGGGTGTCGCTTCCGGTGGTGGATGGTGGGTGGGCGTCACGTTGTGGAAAGGCGACCAAGACTTGGATTCCTCGGGTTCTTGAACCGCGAAACTACCACCGCCGCCACCTTCGCCACCTCCGCCACCACCGGCCGTCGGCGAACCGTCGTACGGGCTCCATTTGATCTCGCTGATGTGCTTCGGTTCGCGTTTCTTCACCCCCATCGTTGGCAATGGGGAAGCGTCCTCGTACGGGGCCCATTTCGCGTCCGTAATGGTGATCTCGGGGGATATCAGTCGACGGACGATTCTGTTTTCCAGTTTGGTTATCTGACGGGGATCCGGTTCCGGCGACATGCTCCTTCGGATGCTGTACTTGGGTCGTTCTTTCAAGCTTTTGCTCTTGAACCCCTCCGTAGAGTCCTGGCTTCTCCATCTCGACTTTTTGTCCTCCACGGGCAGAGAGAAGTGCGGTTTCATCGCCCACTTGGACCGAGCCCTTTTCCCTTCGTCCGGACTGATCACCTTTTCCTTGCCGCCCCATTTCTTCGACGTTTGACTGTCGACTCTCGCGTGAGATCGTTCCAGTTTAGGTCGGTCCCTGAGTCTCTCGGTCTTGACCGGTCTGCTGTCCTCGCTGGCGTGCTTCTTCAGTTCCGGCTTCTCCGTGGCAGGCGCGACTGCCTCTTCGGTACGTTGTTCCACGTTCAACGACGTGGAATAGTACAGCTTCCTCTCCGGTTCTTGGATCTTTGGTTTCTCCGGTTCCGTTTGCACTTTGATTTCCGGCGACGGTACCGGCGGCGACGCCGGTGGCGAGGGTGACAGGATCTTCGATTTCGGACAAGTGCATCGTGGCTTTGGGTTGGGCAACAATTCCGGCACCTGAAGCCATCTGGCCTCTCTGGCCATCCTCGTGTCGTCGCTGCTGTGCTTTCTCAGATCGTGCATCGGCGTCTGCAGGTAATCCGGCTTCACCGACCACTTGTCCGTCTCCGCGCTGTGGTGCTTCCTCAGATCGCCACGCTGTACGTCGTGGGATTTCTTCTCCTCGGGCGTCAAACTGTGACAGCTGCATTTCGTCCTTTTCGCCAGGTCTAGGTCGGTGTGGGACGTGTGCAGAGCCCAGCGAAACTCGGTTCCCTCGCTGGTGCGTCTCTTTAGATCCCAGATCGCGTCGTCCGGAGACAGAAAGTTCCCGTCGGACCATCTGGTCTCGGTGCTTCGGTACTTTCGGAGATCCCCTCGTTCTCTCTCCCTCTCTCTGTCTCGGTCGACAACGGTAGCGTCGATCGTCTCGCACCTGCACGTTTTCTGAGAGGTGGGCGTTCTTTGCGCCTCGAGAGGAGCTGGCTCGATCGCGTCCAAATCTTTGATCGTCAAGAAGATCTCTTCCCGTCGCTTTTCCCCGCAAGACGGGCATCGTCCGCTCGGCTCTCCGTCGTCGCGGCTAGGTCGATGATGGTGACGATGATGATGATGATGATGATGATGGTGCTGGTGCTGGTGCTGGTGCTGCTGCTGCTGCTGCTGCTGCTGCTGCTGCTGCTGCTGCTGCTGCTGACGAGGCTGTCGATGCAACGTCGAGGTTGAGGTCGATGCAGAGGGGTCATGCTGCGAGGGCAGCCCCTCGTCGTCGCGACGGCCGTCGTCAGAGTGTCGTGACGTCGCAGCCGTGCCTGGCGATGCGCACCAGCAGGTGTGAGTAGCTCCGTCAAGCCGCCTTGGTGGGTACCGCGACTCCGGAGACGACGAGGCTCCGCTCAAGCCCGGTACCAGGCAGACTACCTCGATCGCCGGCTCCACAGGCCTGTCGTTCAATCTTAGTTTCACTCGCTCCTTTACATTAGCCCCTATCTATGTTACGCCTATTTAAATAATTACTCGCGATATCTGTACCTTCAGTTCGGTGAAAATCTCCGTGAAGAATCCCGGTTCGCTGTTGATTCGCAGCATCTCGGAGCTCAGTCGATTCACGATCAGCAAACATCTATCCCAGAACTTGTCTTTGTTATCCTCGATGAGGAACGGTTTCAGGGGATAGCTGATCTCGTTGCCCATGTAACTGTAGCTCAAATACAGACAGGTCAACACCGTCGCGTGAAGTTCCTCCTCGGAAGCCTCGTCTCCGTCGACCAGCTCTCTCACCAGCATATAAACGAACACAACGTTGGCGGGATTGATGAACGGGATGTCCTGTGAAAAAAATCACGATCGTTACAATCTATTCCGAACTTATGGATCTCTGCTCGATTGTTTCAATCGCGGAACAGTTGTTGAGAAAGAGCTATACAGATATTTTACGCGTTTCAATAGCACGACGCGACATGTTTTTTTGCGAGGACAAGGGTGCACCCTCTTTGCGTACAAGCGAGTCCAAGTGCTTCTTCTTGTTTCACAGCATATGTGTATAGACGATATTCATCGACGAGCAGAAAGCATGACTCACGCGCGGTGTCGCGTTACCATAAGCGAGGTATACCAATAGACCTCACATTCAATGTACATACTTGATGAAGACCAAGGAGGTACGATTAATGAGATACATTCTTACAGGAGTTATGATGTTTTAAACATACGCATGAAATTTCAGTAGAACATTCCTGGTCACTGGTCAGACATTATATTTTCGATAAGGAATTTTTTTCTCGAAAGTGCGTAGAATTTCGGAGGTATGTCTATTCACCAAAAATGATTGCAATGTACTTCCACAGCTAAAAATAATTTTTTTAAAACGATTCGAAATTTTTCAATTTTGCCGAAAAGGTCCACCTTCCTGAATTTTTTTCTCGAAAGTGCGTAGGAATTCGGGGGTATGTCTATTCACCAAAAATGATTGTAATTGACACCTGCGACCGAAAATAATTTTTTCAGAACGATTTGAAATTTTTTTTTTCGCCGATTTTCCTTAAAAATTCATTTTTGATTTTTAATAAGTTTGTTTGACGCGCTACGGAAATTTTGTCTAATACTTTTTTGTAGACACCCATGAGCTCTATCCCAGAAAAAAGTTTCATTGAAATATATTCACTATTGCAGGAGTTATGGAATTTATTATGAAATTTCAGTGAAACATATCAACGGTATGGTCAGACATTATATTTTCGGTAAGGAATTTTTTTCTCGAAAGTGCGTAGGAATTCGGGGGTATGTCTATTGACCAAAAATGATTGTAATTGACCCCTGCAACTAAAAATAATTTTTTCAGAACGATTTGAAATTTTTTTTTTCGCCGAGAAATTGAAGCACATCCCTGTCGATTTTTCTTAAAAATTCGTTTATGATTTGTAATAAATTTGTTTACCGGTGTACGGGAATATTGTTTGATACTTATTTGTAGGTATCCATGAGCCCTACTACATAAAATAAATTTCGATTAAAATTTTTTCGCAGTTGAATCCAAGCACCATAAGCTTTCGCTTCATATTTAATGGGGGAGATTGTCGTAGAAGAAGACTGTTTCACCGTCTCGTTTCCGACATTCCGGCACGTGTCCTTTATCGACGGCTTTGCTCGCGTCCGGTCTCCTTGCTCCAGAAACCGAGTCCTCCGAGTCATTAGCGAATTAGGACACGGCACGTAGGTCGATCTAGCGCGAGAGAGGCTAGAGGCAAAGTGCATTGGCTCGTGGAGTACACCTAGCTACATGCAGCTTGTGTAGTGGCTTTAACGGGCGTACAAAGGCGTCGCCGCTGGCCGTGTGGGTGCATTTATTGCCGTCACGTTTAATACACTTATCTTGCGTGTATATCTAATTTGTACGCGCACAGGGGGATACGCCCATCTCTATTATCGAAACACCGGCAACGCGTGCTCTTCTAGTCTACGAATGCCCGTGGAAAATTCAGCTATTGAAACGATCGCTTTCGATTGCACAGAGAAACAACTCTTGCTTTTCTTGCACCATGGTCAATTGCACCAAGATGGCGAGAGAGTAAATCGAGATAACGCGTGATACGTGATGCGAGGCGAGTAAATTCCACTCGATGGAATAACCAAATGCATGGCAAGGCTTGGCCGATACGTGGTTCGATACGACTCGGAAGGGAAGGACCTCTTAATCAGCTCTGACTTTGATTTCATTGGCCTTAAAGTGAACGCAAGTAAGGACAGAATTTCGGTAGTGACGCAATTACTCGATCAGAGGGTTAGGCTTTTTTCGACCACGGGGGGTTTATCCGTACCGGGAGATGTACGGATGCGGTTTCTTGCACGTGTGGGCGGATTAACGGAGAGACCCCGCGGTGACCCGGGAAGGATCGATGCTCCGGATGCGTTTTCTCGCCTCTCAGGTATTTTGCTGGTCGTTCCATCATCCTCGCGTAACGCGTCCTCCCTTGTTAGCCAGCTTTTTAACGCGCATTACGCGGTGCAAAGTGTTCTCACGGCTGGATGCCTTCGGATGCGACCAGGAACGTCCAGAAATATCTAGGGACGTCGACACTTGGACGTTATAGTTGGATAAAAAGGTGCTCGTCGAGTCTGGTGCTACGCGAAATTAACGCTAGGCTTAAAACGGCCGCAAAGGAGCATTTATTTATAAAATAAAGTCCTCGTTGAGGCATGTGCTGACACGTACGTTCGCGGAGGAGTTTCCACGTGTCTTGACCGGCTCTACAGAGCCACTTGGTCGGGTGTAACACGGGCTTGTAAGGCCTTCGAGGGTTGGAAAACGAGCGATAGAGAGACCAGCCGATACAACGCCGAGCCGTGTATATTCATCCGGTCGATATCTGGCTGGGGTGAGCGGCCTGTACCCCCTATGGCGCTTTGTAGTCGCGTTTTTCTGCGGCTTATCGAAGATTCAGCGTTTCTAATTAAATTCTCGAGACGCTGCCCTGGTAGAAGGGACGAACAGCTCCGAATTCGGCTACTTAGGATCTTCTAAGTAGATGCTTTTGGCTCGAATCAACCCCGATCCATATTTATCCGGAGAAACGCGGAAAAGCTCTCGGAGATCTCGATTCTAAGGCAGGTGTCCACTTTCCAGCAACTGCTTGATCCCGATTAACATTTTTACACGACTGATTTCATCGGAGATCGAAGGATAATCTGGGGATGAACGATCACGGTTATCCGCCACGAGCCCACGGAATTTGGAATTGTGTTATTTGGCTTCGTTATTGACAAGAACAAGTATCTTACACGTGTTCTTCTCCATTTCTGACTTGACACGGGGCACGCGGGAAACGATTCCACCAAGTATGGTTTCTCTTTAACGGGATTCGCCACAATGACGTTCAAGCTTGTTCTATTTACCGTCTAGACGAAGTGGATTAACGTTCTCGGTTAAACGGTCTCTACGTGTTGCTCCTTGCTGTATACCCAAGAACCGTTAAACACGTCTTTAGACGCAATCTTTATACGAGAGATCGAATCGATATTAAAGCGACGTCGGTCGATTACCACGTCGAAATTAGTTTAAGTTGCGTCAGAAACGTTTCCTTTCTATTTTCGAACTACATTAGCGAGCTGCCGCGCGAGTTCCAATAACCTCGTGTCACCGTCACAACTTTGACAACATTTTAAGCGAAAGTAGATTACGTAATTCCAAGTGAAATATGTACTGTCGCGTTACGGATAGAAACCAAAGTTAGTTGACTAAATCGGATTCAGGGGATAGTCGTCTTTACTAAATCCGATAAACATGGAAACAACGTCAAGAATCAGAGTTCTGGAAGGTTCTGGAAACGCTGACCGAAATTCATCGATTCTATATCTTTCGTACCAAATCGTGTAATCGCTTTAATCGGAAAGATTTATTTTTTTATGTATTCCTAAAAAGGCAAAGATATCGTACAGAATGTGTTTCTTAAACGGGCCGCCGCGCCGCGTATGTCATCCTTGACTGATTAGATTTGAGCACGTGCGCGATCGATTTGCGGTTCCCTGGAAACCTCGGACCGCGAAAGGAGAGTAGTTTTCTGTCGGTCGCTTCTTTATGTTACGCGTAACCTTGCACGAAACTCACACGAAAGGGCATGGAAACGTCGAGCGTGTATCGATCGAAACCCGTCGACATTGTCCATCGTTACCAAATCAGTGTTCAAATTCCATTCATTTTTCTGTATTCGTTGTAAAGGAATGGAATTTTTAAGGCGATTGGGATCAGCACTTTGGTGCCCGTCGTTATTATGCGCGGCACTAGACGTCGAATTAAGTGGCGTCTGCAAGGAGAAGCGGCGACAAGCATGAACGGAAAATTATTCCGGGGCATCTGATTGTCCCACTTGCGTCAATGACATCGTGAATCGCGAGTAATTATGCAAGATTTGTCCGCGCAAAGCGTCCCGAACTTCCTAAAACCGGAACAACGTATCTTGCTCGTGTTTTAACATTGAATCAAGAAAAGAGCATCGAGTCTTCAACCGAAGGATTTTTAGTTTGGTACGTACGGTGAACGGAGAAACATTCGATAACATTTAAAAATGTATAGTACCTCCGGCGTAGTACTTGGCGTATCGAAGCTGTAATTTAAAAAAAAAAAAAAAATGATTCAGGTTTCTGCTCGCCGAAACGTCTTTCGAGCGCAGAAAGATCGGGGATTCGGGAAGAGGTCGTCTCCCCTTTGCAATTAAACTCGAAGGGTGAACGTACGATGCCCCCGCATATTTCTACACTCTCCCGAGGGGTGGTTATGCGATGTTGCCGCTAACGCACGTGACCCCATACGCGAACCCCCGCGCACAGTTTCCTCGGTGCCGCGCGTATTTTCTGCTGCAACCCCTATCGACTCTCATCGTTGTCTATAATTAACCGCTTGTTCCAATTTCTAGCAAGAAAGAAAATAAATTTATATAAAGTACTTGTGCCGGATAGGGGGAAGAAAATATGGGGACAAGCCGAGCAAATCGCGTACGAATCGTTCCGTGCTTGCCATCTTGCTGTAAAAGCTGATTTGAAGAGAAAGATAATTCCAAGAATTTCAAAATACATATGTACGTTTACGCAACCTAGAGGGAATATTCACGTTTCAAGAACAGTGGAAAGGTACCCTTAGAAAATGAATTCTCCCCAAAGGTTCGTAGCAGAAAGCCATGGAATGGTTAACGTTCGAGGGCTAGTAGGATTTGGGGTTGAAAGACAGGGTGGCTTCGGCGATGATCGCTAAAGAGGCCCTTTGACAGGAAAATCCGCGGCTCTGCACAGTACATTTGCCTAGATCGTGCACGTGCACTCATCGAGACGAATAAACACACGTACGTATACGCCACCCCTTATTATCTAACACTGCGCGTGGGTGTACGTAGTTATAGAAGGGCTACTTTTGCTCCTAGACTCGATTATAGCGATACGCTGCTCACGACTAACAACGTTTTCGCGAAATGCGTCGATTGTTCGTAGTTGGAATCGCAACTACGACGAACGGTGCAATTAAACCTTACAAACCACTACAAGGAAAGAAATGCAATACCATTAACGTTGGAAAACAATAATCTGTTGCTCGTCGAAAGCTCTAAGGAGACTACGTTGGCTGAATCGGTGCTTTAGTTTTCAAGATCAACGTGGTGTCACGCAAGTCTGTCGGAGTCGTTCAAACTCTCAACGATTTTCACCGCGGCTTGGTGTTCCGATCGATCTAGCTTAAATAGAAATTGCCACGCAGCCGCCTCATCGTAATTTACGAACGTTTGCCGTACAAGCGAAACGACCAAGAAGAAAGAAAAAGAAAGAAAGGAATTACATATTACACATTACGTATAGCACAAAGTGCGATAATTAAAGTTGGTAACAATAAACAAAAACCAATAAAATTTTATGTATATGTACTATGCTCGAACAGAACTACCGATTATTTCGTACGATCGAGTAGGATTTGTCTGGCCATTATTCGCTCATTCTACTTGCATCGATGTCCGACATTCGAAGATCATTTCCCTGGAAACGAAGCCTCGTACGAACAAATTTTATTCTACCCGAATGTACCACGATGAGACACGGTTAGATAATATATATATATATATTATATGTAATATTATCGTGGCAAGTGTAAACTCTGCCTGAAATGCATAGATACGAGAAGCCCAAGAAATGTTGGTTCGCAAACTAGAGAATTACCGTCGAAAGGTCGAGAAAGAAAAAAAAGAGAGGCACGTGATCGTTTAAAATTACCCCGTTGATTGGTGCGATAGCCGATAGACCGTCGTTTTACTAGGTAACGTAGCGACGGAAACGTCATCGATGACGGTGAACCGCGTCCCCATGAAGGGTAAATATCGTTTTCGTAGGTGGAACGTCGCGTCGTTAGCTTTCTGTGAAAAGCGGTACTCGCAACGCGTGACTACTCGTCAACCGGTTGATCGATAATGACCTTCGTAGTTGCAACTGAAAAGGGACAGCGCGAAGAAATTGCACGAGTGTCATTCATCGTGATAAGCGTACGCTATTATCAATGAATTTTAAAGGATATTTCTAATCGACGGAGATCTAAAAGAGTACGAAACGCGCGTCGATTGTTGGTTTATAGAAAAATCGTTCTACCATCGTGTCCCATCGGTCATTGTTTGTTTCGAGGTAGAAAAACGATTCGGACCCAAGTCCAACGATAACTGGAACTTGGATCGTTCCTTTTTACCGCCAAGAGAAACGAAACTTGGATGACGGAGGTCGATTGGCGAGCCGCGATAGAGACCATAAAATTTGCATAAGCCGCAACCACGGCGCGTCGCGCAGCATCGAAATCGAAACGAGTTCGTAGGAAAACCACGAGTCATCGCCGGTTGATCGATCGCGTCCTCGTTTTTGAAAGTGGACGTAGTTTGGCCGAGAAACTGGTTCTTTTCCGTCGAATTTAATTGCGATCGCACGTGGGATACCTGTATCGTTTAGTAGGAAAAACAGAGTACAAGGCTTACCTGCCAGCCCTGAAGCAGCAGGTACCTGTCCACGGTCCTCAGCCACATGACAGCATCGCCAGCTTGGAAGTCTCTTAACCGTGTGCATTTCCTATGGAGGAAGACGCCGAGGCACTTGAGCAATTCCGAGGTCGAGGCTTGGATTACGATTTTCCTTGGCCCAGGGGGTAAGGGCTTCTGAACGAGTTTCTCGCACGTCGGGTTGTGCGTGGTGTGATTGTTGTTCGACGCCGGTGGTTTCGTCTGCGACAGCGATGATATTACAAATTAACCCTTACTAAACCACATCTTTTCATAGAGAAAAGATTCTACACGTAGATATAGAATATAGGTGGGGGATGATATGTTATTTTAATCGGTACGGAGTTCGGTTCTCGTTTCGAACGTCCGGCAAAACGGCCCAGCCCTTCTCTGAATAGTCGTGTCCGTTCCTTGAAAATGTTTGCGTGGGGAAAAAGTACGCGAAAACGCAAAAGAAAACACAACGGCGATCGATACGCTTTCGATCGTATCCGGGGTCAAAGCACCTTGGACGCTCTTCGCGCGAGACTTCCGAGGCTACTTGGCGGACACTTGGACGAAAATGGGCCACTGCTAGTCGTATTCGTCGCCTAGACGTTTTCCTTACGACTAATAGCGAATCAGTTCTGTTCGACCACCAGAAACTTTCACGTTAAAACGCCCTACACGCGCCTCTACTTTGATATAACAAACACGTCGAATCACGAAGGTAGAATATGTAAAACGGCGACAAAGCTCACCTGTGGCGTTTGTATGTTTTTGTTCTTGTCGACGATCGGTATGTTTTCGAGCGGTTGCCTGAAAGCGATATTCTTGTTCTTGTTGTCGAATTTTTTCTTGTTGTTGTTCGCTGTGCTGAACCGCTTCCACGAGAGAGCGTTTATAAACAACGAATGTTTTTTCACATTCTTCTCGAGCGCGTTCTTCTCCGAGATGATCCTGGCGTTGTCGTTGTTATTGAGATTGATATTGTTGTTCTGTAACGAATTATTGTTCGTGGGTGGGTGACTCGTGGGTGGCGCCGGCGCCACTGTAGCCACTCCGCTCTTGTTCTCGCGATTCTTCGCGTTGTTCAGCTGCTCGTAATTGAAATTGTTGAGCGTGAAATCGGCGGGATGCTGATGTCCTGGCGGCGGATACGCCGAACTCCGTCTATCGCGCGGACTGAACGACAACACCGTACCCATGGTGTTGGATCGGTGTTCCTGTTGTTGTTGTTGTTGTTGTTGTTGTTGTTGTTGTTGTTGTTGTTGTTGCAGCGGCGCGGGCTCTTGCTGCGAATGTTGTTGTTGCAACGACGGTTGCTGTGTCTGCGTTGCCTGATGCGTAGGGTTCTGGAGTTGTCGGGTCGCGTTTTGAACCGAGGGCGCAGGATTCTGGGTCTGGTGAGCCGGATTCACAGATTGGTTACCAGAATTCGAACCTTGATGGCCGGGATTTTGACGATGACTCGGGTTTTGGGGCTGTTGGAGAGAGTTCTGTCGGTCGGCCGGGTTCTGGGTCTGATGACCGGGATTAGAAGAGTCCGAGGTCTGCTCGTGGGCCCGACGAGCCGGATTTTGTGTTTGCTGGGACGTAGTGGACGGAGGTCTCGGTGGACTCGGGCTGGCGACGCGTTGCGGTGGTGGCGGGGGTGCTCGTGGAACCGAGGATTCCCTCGGGGGTCCCGTCAGCGGGGTCGCATCCCCTGGCTCGACGGCCTCCTCCACGACGGGACCCACCACCTCGCTCAGCCGACCTCCCAGCCTGCTGATTTCTACCTTCGATCAAAATTACCCTGCCCCTCCTCCTTTGCTCGCTTCTTCGGGCCTTATGGGTTCTGTTCTCTGTCGTTCCCTTGATTCAGCGACTTGGAACCTCGACCGTGCACCCGCCGACTTTCGTCGACGCGAAACCCTCGAACCGAATACGAGCGATAGTCGCGATCGATGGACTAGCAACCAACAACTTCACCAAAAGATACACGAACTAGACGCCGCACGCTTCTCGAAATCTACAGACGACGCTTCTCCGTCGAGTCGCGGGGGGTTTCTTTCGCGAGGTGCCAGTCACGAGGGAAAATGTCGTCGATGCGTGGAGAAGATGTCGGTCGTTGTGCAAAATGGCGACAGATCGATGTTTCACCGCCCTCCGCCTCTCGGAGGGAGGACGAACCAGGTGAACGAAAATACAGAACCGAGTGCTCGAGGCTACCTCATCGGATATATCCGTGTTCTCCTCCCTCGTTGTTTAGAAAGGATACCATGCACCCCTTCACCGCGAATCTTCTTTCACGCGATCGTTCGAAACAACCTCGGGGCTGCACCACCACTTTCGATGCACTCTCGCAGCACACCGATATACAATATCACTTGGTTAATATTTCGTTACGCGTGGGTTTCTCCACTCGGTGGATCTCGTACCAGCGAAACCGTGCAATCGATTGATAAAAAGAAACCGTCGACGTTTCGATAATCCGTCTTTCTAAATACTCTGTATTGTTTCGAAGAACGCGATGCACCTAACACAGAGCGAGCCGAGGAGTCGTGTCCTCTGGTCGGTCCGTGCAGAAATGTGCTCGTCGACCCTCGATACGTGCACGCTCGCAACACACACGGGTACCGTCAGATTGTTGACAACACGAAGATTGGTGCGTTCGCCACACACAGAGAGCGAGAGAGAGAGTGGGTCGGAAACGGTCGCGTCTCGCGCGGCGGGCTTCAGTCCGTATCTGCTGCTCCCGTCTTCGCCGACGTCGCCGTCGCCGTGTCCTCGTCCTCCTCGGCGTCGTCGTCGGCGTCGTCGTCGGCGTCGTCGTCGTCGTTGTCGTTGTCGTCGTCGTCGTCGTCGTCGTCGTCGTCGTCGTCGCCGTCGTCGCCGTCGTCGTCGTCGTCGTGGTCGTTGTCGCTCGTTCGGTCTCTACGTTTGCGTTTCTCCACCGCCGCTTTCTCTGCAACCAACCAACACTTAGCACGCCCCATCCCTGTTATCGGTGCGCGCGCAATCGTTCGATAAACGCGCAACGTCGATTCCACGGGGGTGGAAAAAGAGAGAAGAACAAGAGTACGGAGAAGGGTGAACCGCTACCGCTTCGAAGGTGAAACGAAGAGAGGGTAGTCAGGCCGCATACGCCCAAACTTTTCTTCCTTTCTCGTCCTCCCCTTAGACACTTGGTCCTCGCAGCCTCCGACGATCCGTTTCTTCCTGCGATTTCCGAATCGCGTACACGCATACCCCTACCCTACTTTCCCCGCTCCACTCTCCACCCTTACGCGAATGTTTGGCCGGAAGTGACTGCAAGACCTGAACGTAGGTCGTGATTCTACCGTACGTAGAACCGGGCTTCGCGTGGGGGCTGCTTCCCGTTATGACAATTTTATCAGACGGCTCGCGAGATCCGGACCTCTGTTTCTCGTGCCGCGAGTTCGCGGGTACTCGTTTCTCGCTGGTGCTTCATGGAACGGGTCAGCCAGCTCCTCTTTAAACAGTGCTTAACCCTACGCGACTCGTCGATGATACTCTTCTCACCAATTTACGTTTCATTTCATCGATACAAATATGTATTCTGATTAGAAACATGTGCGATCGATGCCTGTAAATGTAGCGTTAAAAATGCAAACTTTACGAGAATACGTAATAATAGCAGCTGAAACGTTTGTTTCGTATTTCTTCGCAACTGGTATTTTACGAACGGATCGGATCGAAGACCAGCGGGGGCGTGGTATCGACGATTACGTACGCGATAATATATTTTCGATTATATAATATAATTTCCTCTTGCGACGATAACGGTACTATTTATTTATAGTTGATGGGAAAACCCTTTGACACGATAAAAGGGTGACTCATTTAAATCGACCCACACGAATATCTACGAAACTGTTGACGATGCCAAAAAATGTTTCGGTTACGTTTCCATCTAAATACAGTTTAGTCAGCGCGGTGGAATTATCAGCGGATTAAGTTGACCGAACGGGAACGAAGAAAGAACGAGAAAGATCAAGAAGGCGGAAGGGGTTAGTCTCCATCGATTAGCGCGGCAATTAACGTTCCATTTAACAACGGGGTGAAACAAGGCGACATTCGCGTTACGATACACAATGGGAAAGTCGAACAGAGAAAAAATAGAATTTACAACGAGAGCATCGCGTTTTCGCGATAGTAATTATCGAGGATGCACGTGGTTTCGTAGGTAGATCGGATCGTTTCGCGACGAATGCTCGTCCCGTTAATTTAGGAGGAGGACGCGCTCATCGTTGAACCGCTCGGGAAGTTCCGAGTGCTAGGACGCGCGATATTAAACCAAGTGCGTCGTTCCGCATATTAAACGCGTTCCGCGGTGACCCTCCGCGAAGAACCATTGCCCTCGGAAGCGAAACGAAAAAGCACGGGCTCGCGCGTTCATGAAAAAAAAAGAAAACACTGTGCATCGTCACGGTTTATCGCGAAATATCAAATTTTCTCGCGTTCCTAGACCTATCGTTCGTTTTAAAGGATCTAGAATTCTTTAAAACAATATTCCTACCAATGGATATTGCTTTTATTCTATACATTAATCGTATATATAGCAGTAAGGAAGCAAAGAAGTTAAAGGCGCGCAACGTATGCACACAAAGTGATCCATGATTTCGAGAAGAAGGTAAACAAGTCGACGCGGGGGTGGAATCATCGAGAGATCTCTTGGCTTTAAAGGATTTTCTGCCATTTTGCGACGTAACATGATCGGAATTACGCTCGAGAAGCCTTAAGATTCTTCTTCTGATTTATAATTCGATACCACCACCATCGAAGAATATGAACGTTATATTATTAACCGTTGGAATACTTTTTCTGGCCACTGTATTTTTTAATGTAACGAACAACGAACGGGTCGATGGCTGTCGCGATAGTCGTTTAATCCGTGAAAAAAAAAACACGAACTGGTTGCGTGTCAGCAAATAGTAGACCTCCCGGACGGATCAAATGCGATACGAAGAACCCTCCAATTAATTAGGCGGCCCACACATGGACTCAAGTTCAACAAAAAACGCAAATATTTCTTGGACTCGGAGCTTAACAAGCAGGGGCCCAACGTTAGGTAGTTTCGGGGGAAAAGAATATCGTATAGAATATTTGATTTTATACTCGTTCGTATTGAGACGCGACTCGAAGCCACGACCAACGGCGTCGGCGTCATCCGTCGCGATAAAGAGCGGCTAACGAAGTTCTGATTGCGGGTCAGGCCGTTTCGATTGGATCGTGATAAAAAGGGGGGAAAAATCAGGCAGCAAGGTGTTCGGCCGGAGGGCGGTGTCGCTGTAAAAGCCAGCTAAAAATATAATGTTCGCTCGCGTCGCGTTGGCGTGAAACCGCATGGCTCGTTCACGCGCCGTGTCTATCGATGTGACCCCGATACGTAGTCAGCTCTAAAAAAATAACGCTGCCTTTTATTGTTCCCGATAAACTGGCAACGTCCGAGACGAATTATCTCGATGGTCCTCTCGACGCCAGACTGTCTGTTTTGTGGAAAGAGACGAGTTGCACGTCGAAGGACGCTCGTTTACGATTCAACACGCATGGCGCGGTCAACATTGTAAAATCACCAGTATCCAGCTAGGAACCTTGTCCGTTTTAAAGAATAGGAACAAGAGCTGGCAGAAAAGTCTTAATAATTCGATAGCCGAATAGCTTGAAAACTATAAATTTTAAGGCAGTATTAAACGTTTGTATGTTTGACATTCAGTGCTATATCGACTTTCGACACCGACGACATTCTACGGATATTCCGTATAAAAATACGATGTTAACCTTTCTATCTTTTCTACGCTTCCACCCACAATAAAAATTATTGTCACTACATTACGTCTCCCTCGAAGCGATAAAACCTTCGCGAGCAACGCTTCTACGTATTATTTGAAATAACGAAGATAGTCGAGTGGCCTGATTTTAGCAAAGTTTGTATTTTGGCGAACGCGGTAAACAATTATTGTCCACCGTCAATTGCTATTTCTGTATTAATCGTTTAGGAAAACAATCGCGAATAGTAGTCAAAGTATCGTAGGCGATTTTTTTGCGGCGTTTCCTCGAAATATTGCGAGGTCGAGTTTCACCTTCGCACGGTCTATAAAAAAAATGTAACGTGCAGTAGCTATTTATAATCCAGGGTACATAGACGTTCCATTTTCCAGGTTGGTTTAAAAGAAGCGCACTCCAAGGATATCGTGCGCTCCGCTGGCCGGGGGAAACATATCATCTAGGGTAGAAGCTACGCCGTAAGAATAATTAACACTGATAAAAATTATTAGGAAGTAATTTTAGATAACGCGTTGATCGATCAGGCAATTAAAAATATTCCAATCGGTTCGGTAATCTTTCGTTCTTCGGTTCTTTGTTCGCGAGATATCGTGCGAATCTCGCGAAAGGGAAATTTCTTAGTCTCGATCGTCGTTTCCTGCTACGAGAAGCAAACAAAACTATCGAGTAGAGGCTGACGAACTTGTAAACCGATAAAGGACTGGCTTAACTTGGCCGAGTAAAGGCCTGTAGAGAAAATGATAGCGGCGTCGAAACAGCTGACAAAACCGTAAAACGAGCGGCCAGCCAGCCAGCCAGCCAGACAGACCGAAGAACATCATCCCCTTTAGAAGGGCTCCAGACAGACGAACCCTCCAGGCAACGGCCCTCTGTCCCCTCCTCGTTACCGTCGACCACCGTCCCATCGTCATAGCAACCCCTTGGATTCAGCAGCCAGCCTAACCAACCGATTTGCCCACCCTCACCCACCCCCAACGCCCCCCTTCTTCGAACATTTACATCAAACACGCTTTTCCCTTCTTTACGTGTTGGAAATCAGGCAACCCTTTGTTCTGCGAGAGTACGCCCCCGCGCGATGCGTGCATACGAAACATCTTTGCTTTGGCGCCACGTGATTACGAGTCGGATAGACGTTGAGGATCGTTCCACGACTTTATATTATTAACGCGTTTAATGACAGGACAAATTAACAGGACAAGTTAACGTAACGCAAGTTTCTTTCTTCTTTTTTCTGTTCGATCAACTTAGGGAAGGGAAAGTTCGTAGGAAAATACCGCGTAGCGGTTCCCCCGTGCATGAAATCACATCGCGATATACCGAAGCAAAAGATTCGTCCGCGACACGGTGAAGCGACTCCGACCGGCCATTATGGTACGTACGGGGGCAGTTTACAAGCTATTTAGAGAATAGAGTGGGTCTGACGTTTCCATCGTAGAGACCATAGCTCAGCGAGCCGAATAATGCGATCATAATTTCTCAAATTGGCCGCACTTTTTTCACCGACTCGTTTGGATCGAATCGACGACGTCACGAAGCCTTTCGTCACGATCATATCCACGGTGTATCTTCATTTTTTTCGTCAGTCGCGCGTCGTGATTCGTTCGTTCCTCTGCAAAGAGAAATAACGAGTGCAGTGAATCTAATAATTATAAGCGGACAAGATCATCGAAAGAAAATGATCCTTCTACCGATCGTAAGTACGTTTGCGGTTTTGATCGCCGCGCAGGATACAACATCTATGGTATTTCCGTCTGCGAGAAATGGTTCTGCTTTGGAGTTGCCGAGCATACTCGAACCCGCACGACCTTTAATCGTACCGACCAATCATTTTCTCTCCGGTAAAGTTTTGCGCTTGTCGCGCTGATTATTAACCAAGGAGAAACCGACTGTCGAGTTTTTAATCGCGGTCGCGTATTTTAGTGCCTCAGAGAACGTTCATCGACCACAGAAACGACTTTCCGTACGTTTACGATCATCCGCATTTCGGATATCCGGTGGCGCATTCCATCGACCACTCGGTCGGACCATCGTCGAAGCAGCTCGTGATCGTCAGTTTCATTGGTTTGTTATTACTATTTGCGATAATACAGAACACGATAGCGGTTGTGAAACGAAGAGATATCCCGACGGACGTGTTATCGGCTAGAAAGAAGAGAGACCTTTACGCCGCCCACAACTTTTATTCCGTTGTAAGATTATTTCATTTTTATTTCTCGTCTGTTTTCTCTATACTGTAGGGTTTCTCCGTTCGCTACAAATAAATAAATAATCATTATTATTATACAAAACGTTATAATTTTTAACGCGACGAATCCTTCAATCCTTCTTCCTGTTTCTCGAGAAAAATTTACTTTTATTTGTTGTTTTCAGAGCTCGGAACAGGAAGCTATTCTTAACGACGATGCCAGAGTACGTTGCATACAGAGGACGGTCTGCTTCGAAAATCGAAAACTTTCGAAAGCGTTTGGCGTCGTCGGCAAGATACTAGCAAAGTATTTGACGTGAGTTCCATTGGTATTGTCATCCAGGGTTGTTTTCGTTGTAATAAATTTAATATTGCAAAGGAATACTTATGCAAAATAAAAAAAAAAACGGTCGTACCGTTTCAGACGTTCCATCGGGAAATCCCTGAAATCGACTTCCGGATGGGATCGTCTGGTGGAGGATGCAGGCGAGGCTGGGATTCGTAACGAGGATTGCGACGTGCTATACAGGGATTGCAAGTACCCAGCGTCTTCAAATTTTGGGGACGTAACAGGTCGAGCTTCAAGACTGTCTAAAATGCATGATAATGAAAAATAATAATAATAATAATAATAATAATAATAATAATAATAATAATATTAGTAATAAATATTTTCCTAACGAAGAACGAAAATAAAATATTTTCACTGGCAGCAGTTAATAGTTTATGTTGAGTTCAAAAAAATTGTTGCGTCGAATATTCTACAAATTTTTCGATAAACTTTACAAAAATTCAAACGACGTATACATATACCGAATACACGTTACGTTGAAGCGAATCAAAGGGCCGGCGGAACGTAGGATCGAGCGTTCGACAAATAATAATGCGGGCGGTATTAATGACTTTTAATTTTAATTACAATACGCTGTGTTTTTTTGTTCTTTATCCGCTACAAACATCGACATCTAGCCTGAACTATTTTAGATAGCAGTCTGCTCTATACACGCTCCATTTACACTCTCTTTTTCTCCAATCGTTCTCTCTCGTCATCGGAATTATAAAAAAATATCAAATCACGAACAGAATGGAGACAAACGGCCACGCGTACTGCACTCCTTTTTCTTTACTTTGTCTGTTACGTTTGTATCATTTTGTGTTGTCTCTTTTATTCGGTCGGTTTCGTTCATCATTTATATTCGCCACCATCGTGAAATACCTTCCTCCTTCGTTTTCATTGTTTTGACCTCGTCGACCTCCTCTCGTCACAACTAATTATACAGTAACGCTATCCATATTATTATCGATATAACATTAAGGCATTACATATTTATAAATTCTTCGCGTTCACTCGCCGCTATACAGCAACACCACGCTAAACTCGGTAAACTTATGCTTAAATAGACGTGAGATCGCTCGTTGGAAATAGTCCAGGCTTAAGGAAAAATAAACACAAGGGAAAAGAATGTTTTTTCGAGACACATTTGCAAGCTGGGACCGGATGTGGTCATGGAAATCCGTGTCCACGTTTAATACTGCATGCCCGGCATCGTTCAAACGATTCGTTAGTTAGTCTTCCAGTTATGGCTTTCCAGAGGTTCGGATAAACGTTTTATCTTTGTCACTTTTTGCGATAGAAAATTTGCAACTTTAATGTTTACAAGACGATAGACCGTAAATCATACAGTGAATGGTTCGGATCGATAACGCGGCTAGTTTTCGTAAAGTGAAAAGTTTTCAACGCAATATTAGTATTAACGGCGCTCGGGTGATTTTAATGCACGGCAAGAACACCATTGTCCAGATCAGCGTCGAACGATCTTTCTCTCCACGTTGTTCAGGATTCGCTCCAAGTAATATTAATGTTTTCTCGCGCTCGAGTTTGTTCGAGGACGGCCATTTAACCGCAAAGGCATAAGTTTCCTTGGATCCGCCATAATACCCGATCGATCGATTCTCGACTGTAGAACGATGCTTCTTACCAACTCTACGAAACCTCTAGCAACTTTCGTGCGACGAAAAGTCGATGATCCGTGGATGCATTTAGAGTACCGATTCTATTCGTTCTCTTAATAAATAAATCGTGCTTCTCCTTCCCATAAATCGCGCTAGAGAATTCACTAAATTCAAATTCTGGGAGCAAAGAACGATTCATTTTTCGTGCACAAGTTGAAAAAACGAGATCCTGTTAAAGACCATCCGGTGCCAGATGTGTGCTCGTAGTTTTTGTTCGTCCGTCTTTCCCTCTCGCATTCATCCTTTGTTTGCTCGGTTCTTTCACACTTACTCTCTCTTAAGCACGCACGCAGACGCACGCAGACGCACGCAGACGCACGCAGACGCACGCACGCACGCACGCAAGCACGCACGCACGCACGCACGCACACACATCGCACGAAACATCTCTCTTTCGATTATCACTTGCATGCACGCAGCTTAAAAGTCCTGCTAATTATCGCATCGTCAATAAATTAGACGCATTTGTTGAGGCAACGCAGTTTGCACAAACAGGCGGCAGGCAGCTCACGGAAAGTACTTTGAAACACTTATGCTCTGAATTTCTCGCCTCGTCTCTATTTTATAAACGTTCTCTGCGACTGATGCGAACGAATCGAACGCCGTCGCGCGTTTTCTTAGGTGGTCGCGAGCCAACGTTTTCATTTATTTCGCCACGATCGATCGACCGATCGAACTCATCGACTTGCCATTCGTTGATCGCGTCGAGAAACATCTCCGTATGTTCGTTAATCATAATTTACATAAAAAATTAACTAAAAATATCCATTTCTTTGGCGAAACGATGTCGAAACACGCCGAAGGAAAAAATTTGACAGGATCGAGCTCGATCCTCGAGTCAAACGGTAAGCGAACACCTTTCGAAGAAATGTGTTTTTCTTTCGTAAAACAAACAAGCAGGAAATGTCGTCGGAATAAAAGTCGTCGTCGGATTAATTCGACATTAGGCGATGGTCTCGATAAAACGTTAACAAAAATAAAACTAAAAGTTTTTAAAATTTTCTAGACTCTAACGAGAACTCGTATTTTTCTAATAAAACAGAACAACGCAACGTGAAACAAATAGAATAAAAAGTAAAACGAATATAATCGAAAATTTATCACCGATAATAAAACGGTATGAAAAGATCGAGGTGTGTATACCAGATTGGAACGAAAACACGAACACGCGACGGTATAAAAACACGTTTCTTTGCTTTTTACTATTCGATGTAATCAATCGTGAATATGATTTTAAATAATGGGAAGTCCTAGCTCGTTCCGAGAGCGGAAGAACGTAATCCAAATTAATCGTTTGTCATTCAACACTGTCGATCGATCGATCGCATATTTTATAGATCTTCCTACCGTATAAAAACTAAATCCACAATTGTACCGACTAACACGATATATGTATAATCAATTAAACTATTAATTCGATACAATAATAATAATAATCATTAATTAATAATATGTACAACTTCTAAACATTGTTTATTTCTTTTATTTTGTTTCATGCTTGGAACGTGACACGCGCACTACGAACAAAATAAAGGTAGGTTACCCGATCATAGTAAATAGTTTTCGCGCGCGTCAATCTTCTTTGTTTATCGCGTGTATGCACGGTGACTACCTTTTCTGCACGTCCTATCTATCTCAATCAATCTGAAACACCAAATGGGCCACATTTTTCAAAAATGCGCGACCGAAACAACGCGTCGCGCATAGTCAATGTAATACGCGTTAAAGTCCAGCAAGCCCCGACGATTAGAAGATAGGCGAAGGTATTATTGCGTTACGAACGTAGGCTTCAAGATCACACAATAAATTTAAGCTAGAGAATCATTTAAGATTTGGTATACAAAACGAAATTTACCAAACAGCCTTTGCTAATGCCGTTTTCAACGTATATGCGCGAAAAATGCAATCTGTCTGGCATCACGGGTTCTGTTTCACCAAATACAATTTATTTTCTATTCGCGTTTTCTACGTACTTTCATACGGAGATACTTTTTACGAGAAACATTTATTTTTCTCTCCGACATAATTTATTTCATTCGCGATCGCGATAAATACATTGTCGCGGGGGTCATGTGCGATCGCCTATAGTTTATTTTCGAATTGTTCGACGAGTGTTTCGTTCGCCGCACACCAAGAAGACTTTGTCCTCACGGCGCTCGTTCGTTCGCTCGCTCGTCTCTCTCTCTCTCTCTCTCATTTCATCCTTTCTTCGTTTCGTTCTTGTTTTTTATCCACCGACCACGAATTTTTATTTATTCTTCTCTGTCGATCTCAAGCAACTCGTCCGGCTTGAGCGAAGAATCTCGAGTAAAAGATCATGAATGCGAACATTGCTAAACAGACAGCGCTTGGGTGTGCGTATCGAGGATCACACGATCGTTATGCAGTCCGCGCGGTTACCGATTGCGAGGATCGTTAGTGTCTTTTGAAAAAACAGTTTCGAAACTTGTGACGTTTCGATCATAAACTCAAACACATTGTTAAAAGCGTGACTATGGCACGTCTCATATATATATATAAATATATGTATAAAAATGAAGAAAATATCTTTAAAAAGGAACGACTGTGTCCCGATGTCACGACAATTTGGAAGACGCGTTTTTGAATACGCGAGTTCTCGGGAACTCGATCGAAGAGAGTGAACAGCAATGCGTGGTATCAGCAAGAAACACCTCCGTTTTGTTTCTGGGAGGGGCGAAGTGAAATAAAAGAATAAGCTACGATGATAAAATTAAAACGTATCGAAAATGTTCGCCTCTGCGTTAACGCGTGTTCGCGATTCAATTCTGCTCTACTTTTCTCGTATTCGGTTCGTATTTATGGTCTTGGATACAATCACCACCCGCATATACATTCATATCGTCGTACCGATGGATATTTATTATTATTATTATTATTATTATTATTATTATTATTATTATTATTATCATTATCATTACTATAATTATACCCTATGTACAAATCGACATCGCCGGTAACGGCATTATCATTAAACCTAAGCGACAAACGTAAGAGTAAAGAGTTACTAGGGACCAGTCATAATTTGTCATGCTAATAGTATAGGTAGCAACTCGCCCGATATAATCGTTTACTATCATCATTATTAATCTACTTCATCATCATCACCATCGCCATCACCATCATCATGATCACGATCATGATCATCTGGATCGTCGCCGTGAGTCGCGTCGAATAACACACATACTATATGTCATGGGTCTCTTGCTGACAGTTTTAATTCGTGTTTGGAATATATTTTGCCAATGCCCGTATTCAGTCGGCCGCCCAATCGTTCGGCTTGTCGCGTCTAGTCTTCGTTCTTTCGCTTATTTCATGTTCGATACGACAGAAGTTACTATATACCGGGTACACGCAAATTTCGTAAACGTCTTGATCGTTTTGTCTCGCTAAAAAAAACATTGCTCGAGAAACGGTCTCCAGCTGCGGATGTACGCGGGTTTCAACGACACGATTTATTACAGGAGAAAAGGAAAAAAAGAAAGCAAAAAATCGAAAGCGCGTTGACCAACGAATCATCGTCCTCTGCCGTTTTCTTTCTCGTTCGTGTCCATCCACGATTCCCGCACACCACTGTACTTCATTATATCTAAACATGCTTAGAAAATATTTGAAAAAATGAGTCTATCGGGAGGTGGCTGTTCCGACCAGCTTGGCTTTCTTGTCACTGTACACATTTTCTTTTTTTTTTTTTCTTTTTTTCGTCGGTAGTTTGTTTGGTAATAAATGTCTTTGCTTCGTTTGTATTTTGATCGTCCGTCCCTTCGACGTTTCGTCTATTTCTTTCTCTTTGAGAAAGTTCTTGAATACGTGCCTATTTTCCGTTCGTTGCTTTCTCGTTTTCCGTTAGCTCGGTGGCTGGACTAGAGCGAGCCCGCTACCCATTGTTGACTAATAATTGAAAGATCACCCGTATTCAGCCTCCAGACTCGATTAAGTCCAACGTTTTTACTGGCCAACTTTGCGAAGCGTTGCAGATATTTACGACCATTTTCTAAAAATTTCTTTTTACCCGAGCCACTTGTATGTATATATGTATATACGAGTCTTCGTCCATGATCTGGTCGTTGATTTCTTCTTGTTTTCATTTTCTTCCCTTCCATCGTCTTGCAAGTACAACGTTCTGACAATGCGATAGATCAGAAAAGAAAAAAAAAAAACAAAAAAGAAAAAGGCTAATAGCACCAAACGAGATGCGTGGAAGCTATAAAAAAAAATATATATATATATATATATATATATATATATATATGTACATACATACATACATATATATATATATATATGTGTAAGAAAATACCGCATCGTCCGCCGGTTATTATAACAATTAATAAAAACTTCATCACGATTTTTATCGTGTCGATATAACACAAAACAACAATATCACCTAAATAATATTTCCTAGTCCCCGATGCGACTCGTGCGCGGGTGTCAGTGTGTGTGTGTGTGTGTGTGTGTATTTCGCGTAATGGTTGCGTTACCTATAGTATCCAAGAACGACATAACGACAATAATAACGATCAAGTTAACAACGACGATGGCAACAGCAACGAGCAGCAAGTGGTAGCCCAAGTCAACGATGACGATGATGACGAAGACGAAGACGACGATCGTGCTCGTCTCGTTCTATCCTGATACGGATTCAGACACCATAGATCGTGTAAGCGGCTTATGGGCTGTTGTGCTCGGTGGCATGCGACGGGGTAGCGGGCGTTCCCCTGTGCGTCGTGGTGGCATCGATATAATAGCGTAGTGGTGTTCACAGTCGTAATCGTGGTAGCTTTTTCAGAGGTACCACGTGGTTACCTCCTGTCACGGTACAAGAGATAAGTCTTTATCGCCTGTGGCAGGTTCAGGTCTTGAATTTTCTCTTCCAATCTGTGTTTACCGATTCGTTGCCGGATTACTCTTCGACAGAGATCCATCAGAGGTAGGGGTTCCGCTGGAAGAAGAAAAATCGTGTCGTTACTTGACCGGTTACTTGGAATCAACAAACGTAGAGGCAGAAGATCTTAGCCTCCCCCAAGAGCCATTTTCTCCCACTGCAAAATTACTCTACACCCCCTGATATCCATTTGTAATTTGTCAATTAATGTTTATAGATATGCGAGTCCTACAGCAGCCAACATCTTTCGTCTCTGTTACAGCTATTACCGAACAATGATCCCAAGGTATACTTACGATCAAGTCCACCGATGTATCTCATCGTGATCTCGCAGTGTCCCCAGACAGCGGACACGATAGGATGCAGCTTTCTACCTTTAAGGCCTCTGAAAGCGATTCCAAGGTACTGACCATCCACGACGAACGCTAACGTGCCTTCGTCCATGTCCAAAACCACTGGAAAAATAATAACAAACCGTTTGGAATTAGACGACGGTCCTCGATAACGTTTTCTTTTCGCAGCTTCGAAAGAGTGTTTGTTGTAGCTCACCGAGGAATTTGTCGGGAACGATAAAGGTTTCGTCGGGCTTGAGGAGGGCAGGATACGTGACACCGCTGGTGTTTTTCGAATCATGAAGAAGCTTGTTCCTGCCGAGGTCCCAGCCCCAGCTGAGCTCGTTGTTGCCAACCAGGCTCTGGTATCCGACACTGTGGAGGGGTGCGTCCGCCGTCGCAACGCCCACTACGGCGTGCGTGCCTCGTTGCCTCGTGCTCCAGTACAGCTCCCACACGTGCATACCCTTCGTGTACCCTACCTTCCCTCTAATACAGTCTGTACTTTGCGCCACGGGATGTCGGTGAAACGTCAATTTGTCATCGTCCTACGAAATCGGAACGAAAGCGTTTGATAACGGCCTAGGTTGTTTCATCCGATCGAACGATCTTATTCCAAATTCCACCATTATTACGATGCGTTGCAGTCCCACGAGCTTCCGACGACTTTGGAATAATATGTTCGTTGGTACGATCTTACCCAGATATTCGTCCGATTACTCCATAGTGAAATTGGGTTATTATCAAATACATACAGGTTGGAAGATTACGTATGTTACGCGAAGCGAATACTAAGAGATGCCCGACAAAATGTTACGCGTAAACTTCTCTTTTAAACTAAACGTAAAAAGTGAACGATATCAGCATCGAATTGAGGTCGATGTTGACGTAGAGGGTGGTATTTTCTTCGTGGATTTCGTACCTTGACAAATATGTTGAGACTACGATCGTCAGCGTTCCAGCTGTGATGGACCTGCGTCTCCCGCGAGGCGGGCGGCATGTCGAGTAGGACATCGAGACGCGGCGGCCTCGAGAAATCTTGCGCCAACTCCCTGGGTACCACAGGTTTGTACGCCACGGTGCCGCTACCGACGATGCCGACTCCAGCACCCGTTCCAGCCCCGCTTTCGCGCGTCACGCTCTTCACGCCGCCTGCGGATCAAACATACTTTTCTCCACTAATATTCATGCATAGAATTTTTCAAGGTTTTCGATCAGAATACCCCTTAAAGCAAACGAAATATGCTAGTTTTGAAAAAGATACAGTGGACCCGCGTAGGATATGGTGTTTTTTTTTTTCGATTCGTAATATTTGACGAAACATCGAGAACTTGACATCGATAGCAGATCGTACGCTTCGGGCAGACTACGGTACGCAAGCAGCATGGCGAAATTTCGTTCAAGGGAATCTCCGCGTCGCGTTAATAATTCAAGACTCGTTTCTGGGATACATCGTGCGGTCGGATACCTGCCAGCAGCGCGCGCGTCGGGCCCGGGTAGATTTGCCGAAGAACAGGCAAAAAAGAGTGCAAGAAAAATAATGAAGGGTCCCCGCCCGTCCGACGAGCGCAGCAGGCTTCGCCGAAGGTTTTCGAAGGTTCACCCCCCTCCCTCTCTTTCTCACTCTCACTCTCTCGTCTCTCTGTTTGTGTGTCTGTCTGTCTGTCTGTCTGCCTGTCGGCTAGGGTCGAACAGAGCGATATCCTTGGATGGTGGTTTATTTGCTCTGGCAGCTGTGTTCTCGCTAGCGATCGAGGGTTTTGAAACGAGGGTTCTGGAAAGGACCGCGAGGATTTCAAAAGGTCTCTCTCGTGCCCGAAAAGCCGAGGGGCACTAATAGAAAGGCCCTTTTCACGGCCCTGTATATATCCGGTCGGTCGACCCTCCGGGTCTCTTTCCTTCGAGTTCGACGCGTCTGTGACTTTTTTCGGCGTTGTCCGATACGCGGTTCTTCCAAGCTTACAATTTTTTCCCCTATTCACGGTACCGACAAAACATTCGGTATCGTAAATTTTACAGACGCAGCTGAGCTGCGAATTGGTCGCGATCCGGGGCGACAAATTTCTCGAAAAGACAACCGGCTACCAAGCTCGTATCGCCGAGGGTCGTTTTACGACCGTACCGTCGAGAGACAGAATGAATTTCCGGAAACGGGCAGCGTAAATCATGGCAGAAGAGCGCGAATGGAGGCTACGAGATCGACGGGAACAATTAATCGCGACCGCGTTAACTCTGTCGTTGTTCCATTCGGATCCGCCCGATGGATCGAGATCGGTTTAACGAGAATCAATTAACAACCTATTATACGAATTGTTTGCCCGATCGTTGTTGCTCGATGACGCAGGGAAATAAATTCTCAACGACAAAACTTGTGGAAAGATCGATTGATTTTCATTCGTATAGATTCGATTACGTTTAAACCGAGAAACAGAAACGATCAGAACTTTCGCTTCGACCCGATAGCTAGCTCGTTTCTTGCCGGAGGGATAGAGTCTCGGTCCGAAGGACCTGTTCGGACTTCTACCTGACCAGGTAGGTAAAATTGAGAGCGGTCGAAGACCTTGACCCTGGACAAAGTCCAACGTGGTTCGAAACTTTCGGTCTTTCGCAGCTCACCGGGCTATTTTACAAGAGTTCGCTCTATCGCAGATTCGAACAACGCGTTTTATAATAGGCGTAGTTGTTCACCCCTGGTTGAACCGGTCCGGCGCAAGGTAGAGGTTGGTTCCTCCTTGCCTCGTATCACCCCGTCCCGCAAAAAACCTCGTTCGTCGAGTCATCCTGTACCCATTGTATAAAACCGGAAGAATCGCGGAGGTTCTAACCTGAAAATTTTTGGCCCATGTTCATGCCCCGATGGTAGGAGCGATGGTGTGGGTGATGCCGGTGATGATGCGGGTGGTGTCGGTGATCGGTACACTGTTTGCTGACAGGCAGTTTGTGCCTATGGTGCCTGGTGCCGCCGGTGGTAGTGGTAGTTGTCGTGGTGGTCGTTGTAGTCGTAGTAACGAGGTGATGATGATGGTGATGGTGGTGGTGATGATGGTGGTGGTGACGGCCGGTGGTCGGTGGTGCAGTAGGCACCGCGCCACCGTCTATTCCTCCTCCTCCTCCTCCTCCTCCTCCTCCTCCTCCGCCTCCTCCTCCCCCAACGCCTCCGCCTCCTACTCCTCCTCCGCCGCCCCTACCGGGGCTGCCACCCCCGCCGCCCCCGCGGCCGCCGGCTCCGCTGCCTAGACCACCTCCGGTACCGCCAGTCGCGCCGTTTCCGCGGCTACCGCCCCCGCTCACGCAATGATTCGCTTTGTACCTGCAATGCGAACACAGTAGAAAAACCATGGTTAGTTTCGTTCGTCCACGATTCATCGGGAACAACGGACATTCGTTTCTCGCGGGGAACACCGTCGATCGACGCGTTCGACCGCGTGAAAATCAGCCACCGACAAACCTGCGATTTTACGGAACGAATGGCATTCTAGGGATAATTTATGCTCGACCAACAAGTCGCGATAAAACAGCTTCGGAGTACTTGTTTACAGTGAAAGCCGCGGTGGCGGACCGACGACAAATCGGTATCCAGGAACAGGAGCCGTTTCTCTATCGAAGCTCTACGTTACCAGATAATATTACCTATTATGTACATTTTGATCGTTGTAAAAATTAGTTTCGCTAGAAAAAATAAATTACTCTATCGCCGATCAATGTGACCCATAATTGAAGGTTAACCGTCTCGATTGCTGCAAGTACCGCTCGATTAACGGTTCGCAGAAGAGAATAATCTCACTTTAAAACAACCTGGAATCTTCTACATCGCAACTCTTCCGAGTCGAGCACTGTCGACGAATCGACGCAGCCCTCCGTCCAAAGACAGCAACATTTCTCCTTGCAATTCTTTGCTAATTGCATGCTCGACGCGACAAGGCGCGAGGAACAAATAACAACCGGGGTAAACAAAACACAGCTGGACCGTCGATATGCGACAGTGAAGTTGCTCCAATTTTTCCAGCCGTTTTCTTCCGTTCGCCTCGTGACGTAACGTGCTAGCGCGCGCGCAAACGCAGCTCGTGACTCGGTCGTCGTATCCGTTTGCCACGACTCGCTTCCGGCCACGGACACCGGACACTGACATCCTGAATCCGGCCGGCTTCGGTTATGCCCGAGATTATTACAGGTTCAGCGAAAAAAAAAAAAAAATAAGAAAATAGCGCAGGGAATTCGCCAACAAGTTCCCAGAACGTTTCATCGCGTAAGAACCTAGTATAAAAGTTTACGAAAATTTTTTCGTAGCGTCGCATATTTTATTCGCGTATCGAAAAACCTCAGGAACCAAAGATGATAATGCGCGTCTCTAATGCGAGTCCGAACTGTTCGTTGCAAGTTTTGACGGGATCTGTAGGCTCACCGATTTTATTCAAGCTTTCTCTGTCGATTCAAGAGCAAAATTTATTTATTTTTTCAACTATCGCGAAACGTAGAGCTGTTCGTCATCCGCGGATCGAACGAGCGAGTCGTTACGATGGTCGGTTCTCGCGGAACAGGAAACGCGGTCGAGAAACCACGAATTTAATTTGCCGCGCCGGAGGAGCGGAGAGCAAGACGCCCTTCGAGTCGCTGAAACATAACGCGCGTCGTCACGGCTGCTGCCCGACCGCGAACACTCCGTTCCGAGTTCATTAATGGTGTTTATTATCCCCCGTTAGTCGGCTCGACTAATCCCGAACGATATTACGCTTCCCAAGAACGGGAGAAAGTAGTCGTGTAATCGCGGCCAGCGTCTTGTCTTCGTTGCATCATCGTCGTCCATTGGCCGGTTTAAAGCGCACGCCGTGCCGTTACGGTTGCTCGGCCCGAACTACTTTCGCGTGTCGTGAAAACGCGCCGGAAAACCGCCGGGCAACCGTGGGAGGTCCGCGGAAGCGATTCGATAACAGAACAACGAAAGCGAGTTCTCCCGAAAGAGAAAGGGCACCGTTTTCACGCTCGATCCTCTATTCAAATCCAGAATCTTGCCTGCCTCTGTTGGTTCACGCGTGCTTTACCCTACTTAACAATATGCGGATAATCACATTTTCATATTCCAATTTCATTCCCTTTATTCCTCGCCTACTTTGACTACGTACTTTTCTATCGTTTATGTAAGCATTTATGCATTTTTCATTCCGAGCAAGCTTTCAACACAGAAATCGACCATATTGGATCTCCTATTTTGGTATTTGGACCCACTGGGCGACGTCGCGAATAGATTTTTGAGGGCTATTCCTGACGATTACAGTCGAGGATAATTTTCTCGAATCGAATGGCAGTCGATTTCGCGTGGAAACACGAGAGAATCGGTCGGTGAAGCTTGATGGAGGGCGCCAAACCGGCGACGGTATTGATCCGCGGGGGTCACCTTTGCCCCACCTCTACACGAAACCAACCCCCAAATCCACTACCGACCCTCCTCCTCCCGAACCCCTCTAGCCCCCTCTAACACCAACACCCACTCCTCGGAGAGACAGGGAGAGAGAGAGAGAGGAGGGTTCTTTCCCTCTCCTTGCAAAGTACACCTCCGAAGTAGACCGATAAAAATGCTCCGAGAAAACTCTAGCGAACGTTGCAACTCCCTCCTAGACTTATATTCGACCGAATTATGTCACGTTCCAACTGTTTCCATCGAACGAACAGGTTCTTTGGATCTGCGAGACAAGCGAAGAAATTTTAGTGTGAAATCAACCGTGATCGACAAGATATTTTTCCAGCTATGAAAAAATCCGTCGTCTGAAAAAGCTCGCGGTATTAGCTCGAATGCTCTTACAGAATTTTATACTTTTTTTATCGATTCGTTGGTGCGTCGGTTCTAGTACATGGCGTTTGAAACTGCAGACACGATCCAAGACTCTCGGGTACTGCGTCCGTATCGACGAAGCAACGAAACTACGAGTAACAAAGTTCTCGTTATAATATTAGCGGAAGTCACGCGACTCGTATGAAGTTTCTAGTATAATAGGGAACGCGGCTCGTGGGTTAGGCGAAGCTTTTCAGCAGGCTTTTTCACGGAACAAGGTGGTTATCGGCGTGGAAACCTAACGAGGCAGATCGATCAAACATCGGGGCGAGGATGAGTGCAAATCGTGGATGAGGAGGTTGACCGCGCACAGCACTGCCAATCGTCGACGAACCAGTTGCCAACCGGAATTGGACACGTTGGTTGACATTTGTTAATTGCGTTCAATGAGACGGAAACCCCATCGTAATACGCGACGTCGGTCTCGAGCGATTCTACAAGTCTTGAAAGGAAAACATTTAATCGATTGTGAAAAGCAATTTACCGTCTGTTAGGGAATTTATAAAATAAATAATTCACGACTTTCATGACCATTATGATTGAAAAAACTATCAAGGAGAACGAAGCTTCCGAAACAGTTCTTAACTTGGAATCATATTCAAAGTTCCATCGCTAACCACCACCATTAGTGTCACGAATTTTGCAGTCTGCCGAAGAAAGGCTTAAAAACGGTACAGTTTCCTGTCGCTGGGAATTGAAAAGGCGATTTGCATGCGAAAAGGGATAAGAGAATCGACACGGGCAGTTTCTCCGGACGGTGGTTTGCGTTAACTAGCGAGAAACGTAACGGCCGTTTCGCGCGCTGCAGCTTAGCATGGTTGGCTTAGAAGCGGAACAGCTGACAAGACTAGACCGGCCAAGCAACACCTGTTCGCCAGCTGCTTCGACAAAGGCCTCGATAGGAACCGTGCGCTCGCTGCCCCGAGACACGCTTTTTCCTCTTTTGTCTACCGGACCACCGACTCTCGTTCTCGCGTTTTCGTAGGCGCGACCTTTTAAGGATTTCGCCGCCTGGAACCACACCCTCCTAAGAAGCGTCGAAACAATGCATCTCGCGGCATGATCGCGACTCGTGTATTAAGATCGGTACGGCTATCGCTTTATTTCGATCTACGCGAGAGTCCGAGCATGGGACTCTCACTCTGTGCAACGATTTCAACGAACGCCGACCCTCGACCAAAAGGTCTGCTCGCGAAAGGGCTGATGCAACGACAGCCAACGAGTTCTATGTATTAGAATAATCAAATATTAGAATGCTCGAGTGTTTCGCCGAGCATTGTATAAACTCGTTCGAATGAAAGGTCTATAGCCTTAAATAAGGGTGTTCGGCCACCCCTGGGAAAAATTTTAATGGGAAATTCTACGAGCAAACTAAGACGAAAATCAATAATTTCAATTTCTTGATCGAGACTTCGTTAAAAGGTTATTAAAAAATTAAATTAAAAAATACATTGGATGTAAGGTCTAAAAAACAGCTGAAATTACGGTGAAACGATTCCGACACGAGGCAGAACACGTTGGTGCGTCGAAATGTTGTATCTGGCGAGGGTTGCAACGATCGTGAGACACTGAATCGGAGTCGATTGCTCGTTCGAGAGCCCCGCCCCGCTGGCAAACCCCGAGACAATGGTTCGCGGTGTTCGCGGCTTGATCGAAGTCAAATATCGGGGCAACAACGGTTGGCCTTGGTCTGCTCGTAGCCGATTCTTTCGAACGCAGCGGCTGACATCATGGAGTTGCACTCCGGGGGAACGGCCGCCCGGTTCTCTCCGCGTGCTCCTTTCTTTAGGCTCGTTTCAATTACTCTGCCACCCCATTTGTCTCTGCTCCGCACAAGTGTTTGCCACGTTTCTCAGCGTCGAACCGTTGAGGTTTCGATTTAGACCTTGGACAACCGTACGAGCGTTCGCGAGCGGGCCTGACAAACTTTATTTTATCCATGAATGTTCTCAATAGACGAAAGAGAACTTGTTCCAGGTTTTCAGTAGGCTCGGGGAAGAGGTTCAGTGTGCTCGAGTCTTTTTTAAAACGATTCGCAGAATCTGATCTTCGTATTCGAGAAAGTGAGATCATCGCCTTTTCTCTCTTGAAAGCGCATTTAAGGACGGGTCGTTTGGGTCAAACTGCAGCCTCGGTCGTACTCTCTTTGCAGCTTCGAACGCACGTGCCGCGACCGAAGCCCTGAGATCGACAACGATCTCTCGAAGATATTTTTAAGTTTCATCGGATTCGTCGCTAGGGCGATTGCGTGTAAAATTTGTGGGAAGCAAAGACACTTGGAGTTTTGCTAGCCAAGACTTTTGTACGTCTTAGGCAACGTTTCCAACGAGTATTTGCATGCGATAAAAAGTCGACGGATAGCGATCGTGCGTGTAACCCAATATCGTAATCTTCGTAAAAAGGATACGAAACTGGATTCGTATCGAGTACGTTTTGCGTTTTAATATCGAACACCGTGCACTTATCGTTACCGAACGACTAAA